CGTCTTGATAAAATTAATTGCGCAAACGTTACGGCCGGCCTCATTTGCAATTTTAAAGATCGATCGTCGGCGATCAGCGCTGCCTCCAAGCGAGAGGCAATCAATCGATTAGTAGTAGTAGTAGTAGTAGTAGTAGTAATAGTAGTAATAGTAGTAGCAGCAGTAGCAGCAGCAGCAGCAGCAGCAACAGCAGCAGCAACACTGACGCCAATGGATGCGGACAAATTTGCATTCTGTCGCCATCGACGGCACGGAAACGGGGGAGCGAAAGAGGACGGATAGGCAAAAGAGATCGAAAAGAGAAAAAAAGAAACAAGAACGTTGAAATATTTAAGGTACAGTCATTTCGTTAGCGCTCCCAGGTCGGAGGGTGGAGTGATTCGAGGCTGAGTGATTGACAGAGTTCTCGCAGTTGGCGCATTAGGGGGCGAAAGTGGCGGGACGAACACAGCGGAAGCGGAAGATAATGGAGCGCCGTGCGCATTACGGCGATGTCATAAATCGCGACGTTGTAAAGCGCGCGTTCGTCCCGTGTAAATCATGTTCTATACGTTAAACCAAAATTACATCGCGCCGTTACGTGACACGCACATGCGTCAACGCGCGCGCATTTATAGCTTTTATATATAAATATATAAATAAATATATATATATATATATATATATATGATACGCGTACTTGTATATCATCCGAGAAATAAAAATACATAGCGATTGCTGTATTCACGTTTGTACAGGCGGCTGATTAAAATTTACGATTGCTGTTCTTTCATGAATGCTGCAAAGCGTCCCGTATCCCATAGGAAGATGGATCAGCTGAGAATTACTAGAAAACAGATTTTGCTATCGGATACGGGATGCGCTACGGGAGACTCATCAAAGCTCTACTCGTAATCACCCATCAAAGATCTACTCGTTTGTGAAAGGTTGTTGAATGCGTTTCCTCGATAAAGTCACCACCGGTAGATTCGTAATATTTTACAGAGGTCGATTTAGCCTACTTATACGCGGAACTCGGTCTGATTAATTGTTACGGCAGAGACGACGAGCTAGCATCCGCTTAATTAGAGGCCTCGCGTAAGTGAAGCCCAGCCAGTCTCACGGCCGCTTTCGCTCCGCGCGCGCGCGCGCGCGCGTTCACTCGGCGCGTTTCTTGATGATGCACACGTGCGTGAAATGCGGACGAGTCAAGAGTCGAGAATACGGCTACGCTACGCGACGATGCACTTGTCAAATCCGGACAGGCGAATCGGGGAGGAAAAGCGCGTATTTGGCGCGCGGTTTCCATTCCGCTCGGTCCCGCGATCGCATAGAAACGCGCGGACGCTAGGCCGCGCTATGGCCACGCCGTGGACAATGAATTTCAGACGCTCCGTTGACGCACTCTGTCCGAGTATTTCATGGCTGACTATGCTCTCGGACGTGAGACATATTGCCGTTCTCGACCGGTGGATTTCAATGCAGATTTTATGTTCGCGCGGTAGACACGCATCAGCGGTTTTCGAAAAGCGCGTCAGATATCGGTCAACCGAGTCGGACGAGCGAACACACGAACGAACGGACGGACGGACGGACGAACGAACGAACGAACGAGCTTTGTCGCGCTTCGGGATTCATGATTCTTTTTGTTTTTCTCCTTTTTTTTTCTTCTTTTTTTTTTTGGAATATCAAAAATTTGACGCGGGTTCGCATCTTTAAAATTACAGATTTGCAGATACGTAATATCCTCCGGACGCAGCGGCCGGCGGCATCCTGCCGTTGCTGCCTCGATTTTGACGAACTCGCACCCTCGCGGGTCGAGGAAAGATTCGCGCAGATTCACGCGATCCGATCGGAGGGGTGGATGTGTCCGAGGGGTAAAATGAAATCCTTCGTCCGTGCATAACCGATCGCAGGCGTCTTACTCGCGCGGAAACGCGTGCGTTAATCGCTTGCGTAACGATCGCGAGCCGCGGTTAGTTAGTCAGCGCGGAGCCGTGTTGACGCTTGATTAGGTACGACCAGCGTGTTGCCATTGTTACCGCGAGGCCGCAGTGCGGCTCTTAACCTTTAGAACCTGCAGGCCAAAGGTGGGATTGCCAGGCGTCCAGATTGCAGCCGGACAGTTGAACTTCGCGATCGATAGCCAGCTGTCTAGCTGACACGAAAAATATCCCGCGGATATTTTGCACAATGTCGAAACAATATATTCCCCGCGAACGAATATTCTTCTTTCTCCTCAAATACGCTCACGGATCTTTTTACCTTCAAATCCGGCAATGCCAGTCGGGAAATAGCCAATCGCTGCGCGCGCGCGACGCGGCGACGCTTCACTCTTCCGCGCGTTACGATGCTGACGGATGAGGACGCTTAAAAACGCTGTTCGCACATAATGAGCGTTCCACACACAGAGCGTCGGCGCGGCCGGCTTTAAGCGCTGTTAGCAGACGGTGAAAATTTTCGTCGGGTGTCTACAAGCACCGTTCGCACTTTAAAGGCCAACACCTCGCGCGCAGGTCGCTACCGAGTACGCGCGCCGTGTACAATCGCGAATAGGTGAAGCTGCATGAAAAGAACGGTAGCTGCCGTAAGGCTGCCCCGCCGTTCTTCCCCTCCCCGCGCCGGAACGGCGCTACGTTTCCCGCGCGCTATTAGCGATATGTACCTGTTGTAAACGCACGCGCACGCTGCAGTATCGTTTATGAGAGGCGCGCCGAATAGTTACAGGAAACTGAGAGGCTGAGCGTTAGTCGGACTGCTTAATGATTTCTCTTGAGGAAAAGTAAGGGAGAGGGAGAAGTAAATCGGGAGGGAGGAGTAAAGTCACACGATAATCCGGCTGACAGGACGAACAAAAGGAGAAACTCGGCGGAGAGAAACCGGGCGTAATGGCGAAATAGATAAATATCGGCAAGCGGCCGAGAACAAAGTGGAGGGAGGTTCGAAGAAAGATTAAAGAGGGGATTTCGTAAGTAGACGCGAGAATTTGCTCCTGGTCTGTCGGGGGGATGGCGCGGGGCTTCTCCGGGGTGGCTTTGTCGGGCGAATTCTTGCGGTTTCGGAGCAATTACCTTGACTGAACGTTAACGATCGTTCGTAAATCAGGATGGGATGGTGGACGGCGGCGGCGGCGGCGGCGGCGGCGGCGGCGGCAGCTATTCCGTCGGCAGCGATGAGCGCGATTGTAGTCATCGCACGACCGCTGAATCGCACCGGCGCTGAATTTCACCTGGAAATTCGGCCTTATTTTTCCTTTCTCCTGGCACCCCCTCACTTGTAGGAAATATTCTCCCATCGAATATTACGTTATTTTCCTCCTCTCCTCTCAGATCCTCGGAAAACAACCGTAAATTCCGGGCGTCGTCAAAATAACCATTGACGCGACCCGGCGCGTTTCAAGCTGAACTCGTCGTTAACGCGATTAATTCTGCAATTCCTCGACGATATTTCCGTCCGACGTATTTTTCCGGACAAATCTCACAAGCATTCTTTCCCTTCTTTCTGAAAGCGCGGAAAATTTTGCGCCGGAAAACGCAAATGAATATAAAATGCCGTCTTTGAAAGGGAAGTCGGAAGTATTGTCACGATGACGAGCGCGCGCGCGCGCGCGCGACGGCAAAGCGCTAAGTCGCCTTTGTACACACGACAATTCTAGCTTAATGCAAAATGCACGTGCAATTGTATGCCGACAAAGTGCTCGATGGTAGGACTCATCCGATGGAAACTCGTCGGATTTGAGGATCCAATGACGCTTTGTCATTAAAGTCATTACGTCATCCATCAATAGGTACCTCCTAAGCCTGCTGGGTGCGCAATTCAATGCCAACAAAGCCGCATTTACCGATTGTACTACGCCTCACAATAACCGGCTATGCAGAAACGTTTGAATGGCAACAATGTCCGACTACGGTTTGTAGCAGAGTAGCCGATTTCTCTGTGCGTAACCATCACTGCACATTACCGCATTACTTGACCCGAGCCGTCTTTATTAGTACCAAATGCAATTTTGTTTTCCCCCCGAAATCTCATTTCGCCTTTGCGTACGCTGCATGTGCGTGCGTGCGTGCGCGCGCGCGCGCGCATGTCGCAGCGTGACAGCCGAGTAATTAAATTTTCACGAGCGCGCCTATAATTTCTTGACATTAGCAGCTTTCGCCAATTCGCCGTGATTTTCAGCAAAGATCCCCTTTGTCCTTTCCCGGTGCCGTTTCCGTTGGAGCTGACTGCTCGGTAAACGGCCTTTGTGTGCGCGAGTAATGAACGTCTATAATTCCGTCCTGCTTAGCTCGGACGTATTATAAATTCAGCTAACAGTACGCACGATTTCAATCACGCCGTCGAATTCATCGAATGATCACTCGATTATGTATGCAGTTTGACCACAATTGGCGGTCGAATGATAAATTAAAGGCCGGCCGAGATTAAAAGCAGAGCCCTAGCGCGGAACGCTTCTCTCTGTCTGGCGGAAACTTATCCCAGTGCAAGCTTATCGCACGGCAATTTTCGAACATTCGGCTGACATTCCGGAGTACAGCCGCAAAGTTTTACACTTGGCACATTTACATGCGCGTAACAGTTATATCGAGCGCGGCGAGCGAAGTTCGTCGCGGCCGCGCCGGTATCAAATGTAAAGTCATCGCGCTAACGCCAACGCGCGCGGCGGTGATCCTGAAGCGCGGGAGATGGCCGGGGAGGGGCCGGAGGGCTCTCTGCACTTTCCATCGCTCGACGTCGAGCTAGGATAATGCACCGTGGGGCTCGCGGCTCGCGAGAGAAAATGGATTCGCCGCGATGTAACTTGACTTGTAAACGTTCACGCGGGGAATAAATCAATCGTCGTGGCGCGCGAAAGATTTTCAGCATCGGAAGGTTAGGTAATTGCCCCCGAAGCGTAACGGATTACACGCGTTTTCGCGGTGTCGTATGACACACCGCTCACCGGCCCGGAAAACAAAAGGCCACGCGCGGTGATGGATGGGTTCCAGACGATTGAAGCACGGCATGCCGGCTTTCTGTTTCAGGTGGCATGGCTGCGGGTGGACACGCAAACCATCCTGACGATAGCCAATCACGTGATAACGAAGAATCACAGAATCGGCGTCACGCACAGCGAGCACAAAACGTGGCATCTACACATACGTGATGTCCGCCAGAGCGACCGGGGCAACTACATGTGCCAAATAAACACTGACCCGATGAAGAGTCAGATTGGTTATTTGGAGGTTGTAGGTCCGTCCCATTGTGCCTCACGCGTCGAATTAATATCGCGGCCGGAAGTCCGGGGGCTGCGTTTTCCGACGGGAAAACAAAAACAACAAAAGGCCGCGAAGAGCGGATCCTTTGTTGTTTTCTCCCGCTATTTTTCCTCTTCTCTTTTTTCTTTTTCTCTCTCTCTCTCTCTCTCGTTTTTATTTTTTTCTTTCTTTTTGCCAGATTCGCGTGTTCGCGGTTCGAAAGTTGAACGACGTCCGCTGCCGAGCCGGTGTCGAGCGGTGTCGGGCGGGGAAGGGAGGGGAAGGGAGAGACGGAACAACTGGGGAAATCAAGTTCGCTCGTGGGTCTCGCTCGTGGGGTGACTTTCAGTCTTCCGAGGGTGCCGCGATGTTTAAACCGTCGAGTGAACGACACATAACAAAAATCGTTCGCACCGGAGGGCGGAGTGCGGAGGGTTGTCTCTCCCTCTCGCTCGCGCATCGCTCGTCGTTACCGCGTGTTTCTCGTGTCCTCCGTTTCGCTCCTCGAACGTTCACCCTCGAACGCTCGACGCTTTCGCCGTCGACGACGACGCGACGCGAGAATCACATTGCGGAGGGATGCCCCGTGATGAGATCGCTGATCGCGATTTTTATCCGACAGTTCCGCCGGATATCTCGGACGACTCGACGAGCACGGACATGGTGGTCAGAGAGGGTAGCAACGTCTCGTTGCGTTGCGAAGCAACAGGCTCGCCGAAGCCAAACATCACCTGGAGGAGGGAAGACGGCGAGTTGATTAGTCTGGGGAAGAATCTGGAAGGTAAACTACTTACGAGCTATCGTAACAGTGCCGCGGTACGAGGAAGCTTAGCTTAGCTTAGCTGGTTCGTTGAAATAACTCGGTAATTTTATCTTTTGAAGCAGAGAGCTCGCCAAAGCGAAACAGGTCCGGCTTTATGCAACGATGTGTTTGTAAGACGGAATAACACTCGCCGCAGGCGACATGTTATCTCACGGCCCCCGTAATTACGCGCGTCTTGAGAGATTTCACGAGGGATTTCCGTGTTGCAAAGTACAAATAGCGAAATTTAACGAAAGTGCGTGTCAATCGATCTCCACGCGTCCGTCGAATTCCCCCGGGCAACGCGCGCAATGCGCCATTTTCCGTACATTCGCGCACGACGAGTAAACGACGAGGGGCGAGCAGAAGAATTTTCACGGCCGTTCTTCCTCCTCCCCTCGTCCGACGTAACGACTCCGCTACTGATTTTATTCGCGCATCGCTCATCTCCCTTGAAAGTCGCCTCGAAAGTAGGAAGAGCGGGTCCGAGCACGGACGAGCAGACTTGCGAGCGCGAGCAGGCACACACACCTGAAACACACCGGATTCACTCAACGCGGGGACGACGATTTATCATTCCGCCTCTCGGACTTTATTCAGCTGACTACGTTGCGTGATGCAATTGCATTCGAAGCTGCCGATGCGACCGTGTCGGTAACGTCAAAGTGAAATATGCGTTTCAGCCCTTGCATGCGCGTCTCGCGCACAATAACGCCAAGGAAAATCGAGCGTCCTCGTTCGCACCTGTTCGAACAACGGCGACTTTATTCCACGGGTACAATAACAATTTATCATCCTTTTGTCTTTCAAACTTATTGAGCCGTCTCCCCGCCTCTCCATGCAGTTCCGTTAAATATTTGCTTCCCATTGTGTACACTTTATGCACCTGTCCCCGCGCGGAGTGGCCCGCGCGGATAATTTATAAGGGCGAGCGACGGCGACGGCGACGACGACTTTTTTGCCCCGTGGCGCCTTTTTCAGAATATTTGACTTTGTTCGCCGCGAAGGGAGACGAATGTGCGTATTTTGAGCGAGTAATTTATTCGATATAACGCAAAATATTTTTCGGTCCGCTTTCCGCGGAGAGGCTTTCATGGAAATATCTTGCCGTTGTCGGCAATCAATTCATGGAAATATCTTGCGCGAAGGTACGTAACAACGCGAAAACACGCGGCTGCGTATCGCGCCATGTATCGCCATGTCCATCCGTCCGCTCGTCGTCGCAAATAACGATCACTTATTGTTTACGTTGCTTACGCACGCATGTATATGCGTGCATATTCGGTAATTCGCCGCGCGAATTCGGTAATCTTGTGTGATTTTTCATCGTATTTTTGACTCGCGCTAATGCCGTTTAAACACACCGGCCGTCCACAATGACTCGCTGATGCGGATACAATATCTATTTATCATACCTATTGTCTCCCAAATTTATTGAACCGTCATTTTGCATAATGCCGTTCTGCTGACAGCGAAAACATTTATTCCGCTACGCGTGCAGTTTATTCGCGCGCTTCATTTAACATCATCTGCCAACCATTTCGAATGTCCGGCCATCGAAATTTATTATCCTTTCGTTAACGTTTATCTCTCGTGCTGTTTCCGACATAACATATTTGTTATTAAAATCTATAATGTCAATCGAGATGATATCTCTCGCAATATCCGATCATCCGTGAATTACAACATGTCTATCAAGAAATTCCATCAATCTCTCCACCTGCACGTCGCGTCGTTCGGCGAATGGTTGAATTTTGCTCTCGATATTATTTTTCCTTCATCCCTTTATCCCCCCTCTCTCTCTCTCTCTCTCTCTCTTTCTCCTCCTCTTTCTCTCACGATCGCACACTTCGTCGGTTGATCCGCGTGCAATTTTCCTTTAGTCGCTCATCTCTTCGGGAGAATAGGTCTACTCGACACTCTGCTCGTTTACGCGCGACTTCTTTCTTTGACTTTCTCAATTTTTTAGTCAATAAGTAGTAAGTTTCCCTTTCGCGAGTTCTTTCTCCCTACTACTTGTTTGACTTACGAATACGTACGCTTCTTTTGCGACCATGAAAACTCTCTCCTGAACTCCGTCCTACTCGGTTTATTTCCATTTCAATCTTTGCTTTATACTTGCGCGCGAGAACAGTTTCATACTCTTTCATTTCTACTTCTTAAAAAAAGCTATCCCGGGTTTTTTCTCCTTCTCCCTCTCTCTCTCTCTCTCTCTCTCTCCCCCCCGATTTTCAGAGGTCCTGGCGCGCATACTTGTCACTCTTTAATTCGCAAATATTTCGCCATTCTTTCTTTATCTTGACTCGGTGAATGCGATTCTTCTTATATATTCTCTATTCTCCTTTCCGTACCGATGCTTCTTGCCGTCTCGCGCGTCCGACCTCTTTATCGTTCGAGTATTTGTTTCTGGCGATCCATACTTTAATTAACGAATTCTTTCCACTCTTTTCCTTCTCTCCCGCGCTCGCCTACCTTCTTACTGCAGTTTCCACTTCGCGATTACCACAGCCCTTCCCTCTCGTCCCGCAAAAGTTCCCCTTCTTATCCTGCCTTTTTTCTCACGGCAATCACGAACAGTCACGACGATCCACCCTTCTCGACGCTCGCGCGCTCTTCAACTTCTCGCATTCTGCCATCCTTTTTCACTCGCGAGCTCTTGTCCGTTCCTCCGGCTGTCTTTTTCGCCCACGGGTAAACGTCCTCCTCCTTCTGCTGTCCGTCACCCTTCCCCTTCTCTCTCACCGCGTCGTTCCTCACGCACTCGCTCTCCATCACAAGCACTCTGTCCTCGCTCATGTATGCGTGAACAAAATCCCAGATAAACCCAGGCGAACCTATTTGCCGGAAACTGTCCGCAAATACTAGCGGGGAAATAAAGTTTCACCGCGGTCGCCGCGGAGTAGTGCGAAGTTTCGGGAACCTTTGTGCGCCGTCGATCGCTGCGAGGATACTTTCCAGGATCTCTGCTTTCCAGGATCACTTTTCTCCTGGCTCGGCTCGAAGTTGGCCGGAACTAACGCGGCGTCTGCTCCCGCGACGATTTTTGTAATTTATATGGCAATAAATATTTATGGCGCTTTGCAGTGTGTACCTGCTAGACGGCGGATTGCCGAGCGACGAAACCGCGCGGCCGCCCCGTTGAAAATCGGTGCCGGTCGGCGCCGGGATCGACTGTTTCGTCGTAAATTATATACAAACTCAATCCACACGTGCACGTGCGATCGCTGTTGCGAATTCGTATAAATAGATCGTTTCGCCGATTTATCATTAATTGCGTGCGTTATCTACGTGCGTAAACAGCACCCCCGGCGATCGATTCTCGCGCCGTCGAAGATGGCAATTTATGCTTCTGCCGATATAATATTATACGCACACACGCAGACGCGTACATATATATATATATATATATATATATACACGCATATACACCGCGGCGGAAAAGTAACGGAAAAGTCGCAGAATATTCGAGCGGCCGAACGTGCGACCGCGCGATCCGATTTAATTACTTCATTAGTCGAAAAAGCCGCGTTAGCTTAATTCAAAAATCTGGCGCGGGGAAAATGTGAAATGTAATGTATTAAACGCAGCCCGGGCGTTATCGCTCCCTCTTTTACCCTCCCCGGCTGTTTTCCTTTTTCCGTTGCTTCACCGTTGCCTTTTTTCTCCCCCGTCGCGCGCGCGCGCGCGCGCGCGCGGCGACGGTCGTATAAATCGGCACTCGCAACTAATTAACTAAAGAGCCCGCACGGCGGCTCGCGCGGTCCGACCGCTGGTTTACAGCTTATCTCGTATGCAGGTGATTTCAGGCCGAGTCAGCAGGCGTTTCAATAACATAAATCGTCTTGCACAGAGATTAAACGGTGCAGCCGACGAAGTCGTTCCTCAACGGCTCGAAAATTCATTCCCTCTGAAAATATCGAGCTTTTTGACCTCCGCGCATACGCGAGCACGCGCGCTTTGCCCGTCGGAGTTGATTTTTCTGTCTGTCGTAAATATTTGAGGCCGTAAAATATGGCTCGTGAGCGACAAATATCATTTTGAATAGTCACACGGAAAAAACCCTATGAAGGTTTAATACGACAATTTATCTGGCTGCGTTCTGCAAGATCTCTGGCGCTGCGCGAGCGCGAGCAAGTTAAGGAATAACACGCGCGAATTTTAAGCTCACGGACGCTCACAGCGCGGCCCATGACGCGGCTGCCGCCGGTACCGGCGCCGCTGCTATTGCCGTTGCTGTTGCCGTGTTGCTGCGGCCATAACGCAGAACCCGTGTTCGGCTTATGTCGGGAAACTTAAGAAATGCAAGCGGCCGCCGAGTCGCAGTCGCAGCGGCGTCTCCCGCCGCGGCGCGCCGGTGGAATTCCTTAACTTGGAAATTTCATGCCGCGCGTCTTGTCCCGCGTATGTGAGACATGCGGGCATGTGTGCGTGGGTTCCTCTCTAATTTACATCCGTTAACTGAGCGACTTACGAATCCGCCGGCTTTTCAGACGCCGCGTGCGCCATTTTCTACGAAAGCGCCAACGTAACGCCCGCGGAGATGAAAAAAGTTCCGCACGTTTAATTAACAAAACGCAGCTGTGCGTTCTCCGATGTGAGGCCGAGGGAGGGGAAAACGATAAATTCATTGGTATGCGGTGTCCGTGTATATATATACATATATATATATATATACATACGGGATCTCGTTGGAAAAATGATCGCGCGTTAAATTGAATTCCTCCGGCCGCGAAATTATCAAGCGCGATTAAGGGAGCCAAGAGCGGCGGCGGCGGGGTGGGAAGATGGAGAAGGGGACCTCGGAGGAGGACGCGACGTTCGAGACATTCGTAGCCGTGGAAACATATCGATTTTATCGCGATCACTCGCAGGGAGGAGCGAGATAGAGAGAGAGAGAGAGAGAGAGAGAGAGAGAGAGAGAGAGAGAGAGAGAGTACATTCATAATATTCGTGACCGAGAGAGAAATTCTCGAGTAAGATACATACGCCGGCAAGAAATAACCGACAAGTGTTTCGCCTCGGAGTACAAAGTCGGTTTTGCGAGCGGCGTGTATGCGGGGCGTCCAATGTTAACGGAGATTACAGCGCGCGGCAAGAACGGTGGCGCGGTGATTAGTATCGGTTACGCAGAAGTACAAAGCAACCCGGTCGACGTGTATTAATTCAAATCCTGATTGCGGGACTTTTTGCCAGGCCTGATGAAAATTTCTTGCCGGGACAATGTTGCGACGCGTCGTCTGTCCGTGTCGTTCGATTCGGCTCGGGCTCGCGCAACTCGGCGGCGATGCGACGCCGAGCGGGCGCGGGCGGAAGCGAAACGAAAGTGAATCGCGAAAGTAAATGCGAGAAGGGAAAGACGGAGCCTCGCTTGATCGCATTGCCGTGACAATGTACGCGAGTACGTCGCGTTTGCCGACGATCGATCTCAATGATTCTTTCGCTAATTCGCTAACGGGCGACGATGCGATGTAACGAATGTGTCCATTTCATGATTCGGATGGCGTAATGCTCCACCATCTGTCGTAGTGGCCAGCATTGAAGGATCGATCTTCAATATCACGAAAGTGAACAGACTGCAGATGGGAGCTTACCTTTGCATCGCGTCCAATGGCGTGCCGCCGACGGTCAGCAAGAGAATTATGCTCGTTGTACATTGTAAGTACTTTTGCGCACGTAGACACACACCTCTGCGCGTCTCTTCTCTTACAAGGAAGCACTTCGAAGTGTCGGCCGCTGAATGTTTTGCCACCGAATTGCCTCGGAAGTTCCTTTGAAATTCCAGCCGCTAAACGCGCAAGAAGGTGCACGCGCAAAAAAAAGCGTGTCTCTTATTTCTAAAGAAATGACTTCCAAGTATCTCCTTGTTAGCTTAACGCGCGTAAGCGGCGAATCTCTAATTAGTCCGACTAATAATAATGGGATAATCTGCGCAAGTCAGTAGCGAAAATCCTCCCTCACTGTTTTCTCTCGGTGTCGACAGTTACCCCGATGATTTCGATCCAGAACCAGTTAGTGGGCGCCCAAGAAGGCCAGCAGATGACGTTAGAATGTTACTCTGAAGCATATCCCAAATCCATCAATTATTGGACAAGAGAGGACGTCATTATATCAAACGGTACGTTCGCAAACTCATGATCACTTATGCGAATGCATAAGCGCCTCCGTAGGTAGGATCGAAAGGAAAAAGAAGGAAGAGAGGAAGAGATAGAAATCGGTCGGAGAGAGCTCTGCAGGAAATATTATTCGCAGCGGAGAATGTGTGTGTGTGTGAGAGAGAGAGAGAGAGAGAGAGAGAGAGAGGAGCTCTTGATGAGGGAGAGAGCTTACACGCGGCGAGGCTGCCGCGACTACGCCAGTTCCGTCAATGACATCGCTAATTCTTCCAGCATCGACAATAATTGTTGCCGGTGCCGGCGATAATAACGGATACATAGAACGCCACTTCCGTGCATGTGCCATGTGCGCGCGCGCGTCGCCCTCGCCCCGGCCATAATTTAATGAATGATAATCGAACTCCCGCCGCTTCGCCGACATACTTAAGCGTACTTTATTAGCCGAAAATACACGATCCGACCTGGTTTGCCCGTCGAATCTATTTATGTCAGAACGCCAGAATTTAAAGGTCGTTACGAACGGTTAATATCCTGACGGGCTTGCCCGCTTGCAACGCGAAATTCGATGCTCATTCCGGAAATATATACATTAAATCGAGAGAAAAATGTTCCACGCGGGAGCGGAGGGCCGCTAGGAAAGGAAGAAATGTATGCGTTAACTTTGACATGAGATAGAGAGCATTATTAATCCCCTCGATTAATCGTGCTTCGGCTGTCGCCGAGTCGAAACGGACCGAGAGGGCCGCGCTAAACGTAACGAGAGACGCGAACGCGGTTTTGCCTCGCCGCCGGTACGAGCGATACATCGGCGACATTATTATCCTCCCGCAAGAAACGATTCGCCACGAAGGGCCGTCACAGGCCGCGCATACGATTAACTCGCAACCGATCGAATCGATATCGCCGAGCCTCGGGACAGCGAGTCCGCGTTTAGAGGACTCGCGCTTTTCCCGCGACCCTTATTTAACCTTTGTAACCCGTGCGGTTTTTCGGACGATTTTTGCAGTTTCCGCATCGGAACGTTCTCGCGTCGTGTGCGTCAAAAGGTAGGTTGGTAAAAAGCACGACCCCCGCAGCAGCAACAGCAGCAGCAGCAGCAGCAGCAGCGGCAGCACAGTGGCTTCCCGGGCGCTGCGAGGGTAAATTCGCAAGGTACACACACGGCCGAGGGATGATCGTCGAGCGTTTAACGCGGCAAACGAACGTCTGCGGTGGCCGCGTTACGCACGCATACATCGTCTGCGGCGACACGGCAGACACGGCGCGAGACGCGGCAAATCAGACTTGACAATGCAGCCCTCGCGCGACGGCTGCGCGACGCGCGTTACCGAAAAGCGGCGCGAGCCGCATGTACGCATAATTATTTCGGATAATTAGACATGACGCCGGTGCGAGCGCGCCCGTGTAGTAACCAGTACGGAGTAATGTACCTTCGGATCCATTAATGCGCCGCGCCGGCCGACTCCGCTTCGGGGCGCGCGGGTGCGAGATGCGAGAAGAACGGCCACGGCGACGGCGAGGGTGCGCAATGCGCGCTGTGAATCGCGAGAGAGAGAGAGAGAGAGAGGAGGGAAGGAGAGAGAAGCGAGAGAGAGAGAGAGAGAGAGAGAGAGAGAGAGAGAGAGAGACGCGGACGCTGCCGTCGTCCGTGTCTGCAGCTGCTAATCGCGCAGCTAATTAGGTTAATTTCGGATCGCTTCTGCCGGCGCACCTGCAGCGACGGAGGGGTGACGCGGGGACGACGCGAGGCGACGCGTTTTGCTGGCCGGTGATCGATGGCCCGGAACCGGCGCGATTTCCATTTGCGAGCTGTGCGCGCGCGCGCACGGAAGATTAATCTTTGTTTGCCGGCCCCGAGATTTTTATTGTGCAGGCTGCTTTTTAGAAACGGCACGGCCCGCTCGTGCGCTCTCTGCTCGCGGCCGAATGGCTCCCGTTATCCGCTGCGGAATCTGGGGCCCCGAATAAAGCCGCGTTACAGCGACGGGATCGCCGCTGACTTATGGGGAAGTGACCTTTTATCACGCGGCGGGATGCGATAAGCGCTTTTCAAAACAACGCGCCGCGATAAACGCACGCTGATGTTCGTTGATCGTCCTCAGCGGGGAGCGTGACGTCTAAAATGCAACGTGTGTCCGATCGAACCGCGATTTTACATTCGCGCCGCGGCTGCGTTTTCTCTCTTCGAGAGAGAGAGAGAGAGAGAGAGAGAGAGAGAGAACGTCTCTAAGGATATTAAACGACATAGGGACTTTACAATCCCGCCGAGTACTCGAAAGTTGCGATCGCGGCGTTTCTCGCGTGCGCGAGGGTGACTCTCCTCTCTTTCTCTCTCTTTCTCTCCCCCGTCCCGTTCTCAGCGGTCAGACACACACAGCGGAATGAAAGGCTCGTAAAACCGAAGGTGATCGTTTCGCAGCTTATCTACCGATTTCGCGGCCGCAGCCCGGAACGCACGCGAATTACGAATGGGTTAACTGTCAAGTTATCTCGCATATTCCCATGTCAACCGCACATGCCTCCCGGTGTTTCGGCGTAACAGTTACGACATGCTTTACGATTTAACGTTACGCGGATATGCGCGGCTTCGCTAATCCGAATTCAACGCGTGTGACCTGCTCGCCGATCAGATATCGGGCCGACGCGACGGCGATTTTCGCATCGGCTCGGCGCCGTTCATCGGTAACGCGACACGTGGCCGGCGGCTGCTGAATGGCGGCGCGCGTGCGAAAAAAGCGCTCGATTTTCGGATCGACCCCCGTGATAACCCGGCCCGGCGAATTTGTTTTATTCAATGTGCATTTCTGCGGACGAAGAAAAAAAGTCGACAATAAAGCAAATATCGCGGTAACGATATCCGGCGTGCTCTTGCGGCGGGCAACGTGCATATTCGGCAAGTTTTAATATGTATTCGTAATAGTGAGCTCCCGCGTGTGCATTTTAGCTCGGCGAGAGAATGCGTTTTATCGCGAGAAGCCGAGGCGATGGCCGATGGCGGTAGCGCGGTGAGATTATGGGAGGATCGCGATGCGCGAATTACAGCGAGCGAGATGAGCGAGCGGGTTCGAGCGCGAAATTGAACGTTTGGGAGAGGCAGAAAAAGCTGAAATCTCCGCCGGGGGTACAAAAGAAGAGCGAAAGTTTTTCGCGGGGTCATTGAAAATTTTTTGCCGTCGCGCGGGCACGCGTTGCGCGCTTATAGAACTTTATGGAACGTATCCGGCGCGTCGGGGAATTCATGAATTTTCCCGCTCGGGAATCCCGCGAGCTAATTCGAAGTTTCGCCGAGCGTTTCCAGTCACGCAGTTCAATCGACGGAACCGCCGCCTTACGTATAGACACGCGCCGTCCGTTTTCACGGAAAAGGAGAAACTCCCGCGTCGTAAAGCGGCGGAAAGTACCATTCTATTATGCCGCGCGATAGTCGGAATCATATAATGGAAATGGCAGCCTCGCGCGCGCGCGCGCGCGATATCGGCTGCGTCACGGCATGGCAATGCATCGGGTTTCTTTGCACATTTATATAACACATGATATATTCGTTGCGCATAATACAAGCTGCATTAAACACCCCGCGAACGAGCGGAACGCATCAAGCGCGAGCGCGAGCGCGGCGTCGGCTTCGGGCGCGCCGCGCCGCGCCGCGCCGCGCCGAGTCGATGTTTACTCATGACGACGACGACGACGACGACGAGAAAGCAAAAACTGCGCCGTTGTACTTATTAATTATCGCGCCCGCGTGCGGTACGGTACGGGCGAGAATTTGGCAGTTTTAATTGAGCGCGGGGGAGATGATAAATTGATCGCCGTATAAATCCAGAGCTGTCCAAGGATGCTGGGGGGGGGGGGGATTGAGAATTGGAGACCGCCAGTTCGTTGACAACGGGATTACGCTGTAAATCAGTGCCTTCGGAAAACATAATCTGTCAGTGGGCAAACACGCGTTACGCGTTCGCCGACACTCCAATTCATTTTCCGCATAGAGTTTCCGACGTTTAGCAATTACACGATATTTAACGTTTCGCTCGCGCGCGCGAGGGGTAGCGGTGGGAATTGTGTGTATCAAATTAGATCCGACGATGTTAAATTCATTAGAGGCTTTAGTAATGTTGTTTTTTCTCTCTCTCTCTCTCTCTCTCTCTCTCTTTTATTTTGCTCTTCCTCCCCTCGTCGGCGTATACATTCGTGGCTGAGCCGCGCGGTCTGCTTTTAAAGGAGAATACGCATTTCCGCGCGTCATCGTTGTACTCCCCGTCGCGCTCGACAATTTCAGGTATAATTCCCTCGCCCCCTCTCAAAGAAACTTCATTTTCAGCGTTAATTGCACCTGGACACTTAATGAATTAAAATTAAATATCGCGACAAGAACAGCCCGTCGCGCTGGAGCCTTTTAATGGAGCCTTTTAATGGGAAATCTTTCAATGGAGATCCGCGAGCGCGCACGAATAAACTTTCCCTTACTTGCATCGCACGAGCGAATTCACCCGCGGCATTCTCGTGTGTCGCGTCGCGTGTTTCTCGCGTGTCGCGAATAAATTTAATTACTTCAGGCCGTGTTTTATTTATTTCCTGCCTCGTCGTTTCTCTTCTCCCCGGTATCTCGCGAATCTCGACACGCAATTCGGATAACTCGCGGATGCGCACGAAATATTATTCGCGTTTGATTGTTTAAATGTACGAGTAATACTTCCGCAATCCCGCCCGCCGATGGTATATTTCACCGGTCTTCTCCTGCAGGGGATCCCGTTTGATCTCCTCGATGTCTTTGTGCAGCTGTGTTTATTAATTTCATTACGACGAGCTTATATCACTTCCTACCATTTCCCCTCTCTTCTTCTTCCTTTCGCGCGGCTCCGCGAGAGCGGCGAATGCTAGATCGGAGTCACATCGTCCGCTGGTTCGTCCGCAATCCAGCGTGTCAAAACGCGGTCGGAGTCCCACGGCGCGTGATCAACGGCACGGACGCGACACGCGATTCCGTCGGCGACGATCGACGGCGTTGGACAAAATTAAGCGTGAGCGATCGCCGCGGATGGAAATGATGTCGGCAGTTTGAGTTTCCAAGTCGGCGTGATTCATATCCACATATGTCGACGGGCCCCGCCGGGCCGACAACGTGCCGAGATACGAGTAACACAAAATATCGGCCCCCGCCGACTTTTCGGGGTTTAAAGGCAGTTTTATCCCTGCGAAATCCATTCGACCCCCGCCGCCGCCGCCGCCGCCGCCGCCGCCGCCGCCGCCGTCGGTGGGTAATGCTCGGGTGCCGTAGTTCAACGTCGTTAAACTTTTTCATCTGCTTTTCAAACTCAAAGCCGGCCGAAAGTTTTTCTTCCGCTTGTGGGGCTCGAATGGTGCCACTACATAAATGCATTCTACCCTTCCGCCGCCCTTATTCCACCTGCTGGTTCCCCCCCCCTTCCTCCTCCGCGCCTCCCAACTGCCAGCCCTCTTTCTCTTCTCGCTCTTGCCACGAACCATCCCGTTCCCTCTATCCCCTTCCCCCGACCCCTCGCACATTTCTCTTTCTCTATCTCGGGGAGAGGTAAGTTTTCCTAACCCGGCTGGGAAAATACTTCGCCTCCGCTTTGCCGCGGGTCATTACACCTATAGATTTCACTCTCTTCCGAATGCGCCGCCACCTCGAATTGTTAATCAAAACTTCTTTCCGCACCCTCGCGCGCCCCGGCCATGCCACGGCTCGCCTCGACCCCCGCCGTGGCCCCTTTTCATCCGCCGGAACGTTATCGAGGAGAATCGAAACGTTAATGCCGTTCCGCGATTTGCGAGATCCATCCGGAGCGCCGGAGAAGGAGGGGTGTTTCTCACCCGCCTTTGTATCCCCGCAGTAAATGTCTCGCGCTCGCGGAGAATTTTCCGTGGCACGAACGCGATGCGAAAGAGACAGGGAGAAGAGAGAGAGAGAGAGAGAGAGAGAGAGAGAGAGAGAGAGAGAGAGAGAGAGAGAGAGAGAGAGAGAGAGAGAGAGAGAGAGAGAGAGCGGGAGAGAGAAACGAAAGGAGCAAAGCGCCGGCAATTGGGACGCGGACGTTTCTCGGCAGATAATTAAACGAACGTACAAAGTTTCGCGTCTTCGCGGCGGTCGGACTCTTTACGATTATGAGCTTCGTATCCAAGATTAGTTACGTGATCGCGCATAATTCTCCAGTTTCACTTTACGTTCCGTATTCTGTCGACGTGTAACGAGTGGTTGGCGTGTTCGCTCACCATGATAGCGTCGCGTACGCTTGCTCCATTTCGTTTGTAGCTGGCCGAGGCTCTTCCGGCCGTTCTCCGGGAGATGCCGCCTCTACTTCTCTAGAAATGGGAGGTACGATTGTTAGCGTCGGAGGGAAACGCTGGAATGCGTTCGTCGGAGCAGTTTTGCTCCGACGAACAGGTGCAGGGGCGGGGGGAGGGGGGGGGAAATACGAGATTATTCGTATTCGCGCGCACATGTACACATGTCGATCGAATGGGCGAGAAACGGGGATAACGGGGTGAGAACAAAGCGTTTTCGGGATTCAAATGCACGACGCAAGGAGGTCCGTCAGGCCCCCCGAACATGGGGGAGGGGCGGCGGCGGGAGGCAACACATGCACTCGCGTGGGAAACCCTAATGCCTAGTTTTTCTGGTTGACAGAGCGTGAAGCACGGTGGAGCGTAAGGGCGTGCCGGAAACGCGGGAGATATTGGCAAATACATTTTCAAATATTACATTATATTCGGTCCGGCTGATCGATGGTTCGGGAACGTGCGGATACGGAGTTTACCGTTTTCAATTTTCCTTGGCGATATACGTGTCGTCGTCTCGCAATACCGTCCCGCGATACCACCCGTTTTCGATGTATCGAGGAATAATTGCGCGCGCGTTCTCCCCGTGATCGAAGTGATTTCGTGCAGAGACAGAGAGATAGAGATAGATAGATAGATAGATAGATAGATAGAGAGAGAGAGAGAGAGAGAGAGAGAGAGAGGGAGGAGAGATGGCGAGAGACACGCCTCTTCGCGACCCAGCGGGACAGTAGAAACGCAACAATGTGAAACCTTAGGTAAAGCCCACGCATAAAATGGTAAGTCATATTTTAATGAAGTAATATCACACGGGAATGTGGACGTTATACCGTGTGGATGTAGACCGATGCTCGGTTTGCGAGCTAAGTATGTATGCGCAATATATCCCCGTCGCATCAGCGCACCTGGGGTTTTCCCCTTCGTAAAATGTGCAGTTTTAACGGAAGCAGCTTTCACCGTAGATTAAAACTAATTCCATAATTTTAACGAGAACAAAGAAGGTGTGAAGCATCTTTCATCTCGCTTGATATTTATTAAGCTTCTACAGTTAAGCGCTGGAATCAGAAACTTCACGCATACCGCGTTCTGGTACTTTATATATTCATGTTTAATTTATATTTTCTCTCTCTCTCTCTCTCTCTCTCTCTTTCTCCCCTTCCTCTTCTCTCTCCCTCTCATCCCCGAGCGCGTATGCATACACATGTGATGGAGAAATGTGAGTGTTAATTTTATAACTAAGAAAAAGAGAGAGAGAGAGAGAGAGAGAGAGAGAGAGAGAGAGAAGTCACGGCGGAGTTCGCATAACAATATTCGGATTTTGAAATTGCAGGTGACAAGTACGAGCCGTCTTTCTCGGACAATGCGTACAAGGTGCACATGAAGCTCATGATACGCTCGGTCGCGATGTCCGATTACGGCAGCTATAAATGCATATCTAAAAATTCCCTCGGCGAGACGGACGGCAGCATTAAGCTCTATCGTAAGTACGATTTCCGTCCGTGTGCGGGGATGGAAATTACTTTTATTTTTCGCGCGTCAACAATCGTCCCGTATAATAATCCGCGAGAAATGTGTTCATATTCCTGTCCGTCAGGGCATAACAATTTTGTGATTTGCATAGATTTGCAAATTCGCGCGAGCGATTCTGCTCGTTTTAATCCAAATTAAACTCGGCTCAATTCGCATGGAGTATAAATTAACATTCTCAAATGTGTTTTACGCGATTACATAAATCGTTCAGGGATCGATGATGCTTATTCTCCGTCCCGTCAAATATTATCGTTACCTGTATATTTTCATCGCGAGCTTTTCCTCGCTTCCTCTCCTCCCTTCGCGCCAACCTTTCGAATTGAATCCCCTCGTCAATCTCTGCGCACGTCTTAGTTGCGTGCTTCTCCTCCACCGTGATAAGACATTGACGACATCGCCGTCGTCGACAAATCCGATTGCCAAATCGTCAAATCCGATTGCGTGACGCGCGCGAACGCGATCCGGCAAAGTTACGATTGTAATCTCATATTAACGCGATATGATTCATCGCGGGCGTATATCTCTCGCGGCCGTCGAACCGATATCGATTCGCGCCCGGTTTTCGCACATTTGTCAAGCGGCCCGTTATCGTCGCGCTTTCTTTCTTCCTCTCCGCTCGTCGAGCGCGCAACTTCGCGGGTTATCAGAAATCGTTAGTCGCGAGATCAAGAACCGGATGAGAACCAACGGATGAGAAATTAAGTATCCAATGGCGACGACGAACAACCCCCCGCCCTCCCCTCCGCGTCGTCGTTCCGCGCCCGGACGCGCCCGGCGCGATAAAACGAGAGCTTCTTTCGGTAGACGACGAGCGAGATAGAGGCGGCGGTAAGCTACCTCTGGAAAGTGACGTCGGCGGCAGTCCAACGCCCAATCTCGCTACTCCCCGATAACCCCGAATTCTGCTGGAAATGACGGAGACGGAACTTGCGCGCACGTGGAAGAATGTTTGATTGGCTGCGTGTACGGTCGCGTATAAAAGCCGCACGGAGAAAAGGATTCGGTTGAATTAAGGCCTGGTCTACAATAGTAATCGTAAGTTGTAAGCCGTAAGAATTGGCGAATCACGGTCGATTGTTGGAAAAATAATCGGCTGTTAATGGTCAGTTCTTACGGCTTACAGCTTACGACGCATATTGTAGACCAGGCCAAACGCGACAACGAACGAATCACAGTCGTCTCGATTGAGGAAGCTGGAATCTTCTGATCACGATGGACCAAGCTCAGTTCTAACAAGTAAACACCTCGGGGAACGTCAGACGCCGATTTGTTTCCAATTTTTTATAGTTATTCTTTATGTCAAGATATAAAGAAGTCTGCTATTCATTTTTAGCTTAAATTAATTTTTTCAATTCTTCCGAAATTTTTCAAGTTTTTACTGTCCATTCTTTTTTCTTGTTCATTTCTTGTTCATTTTTTTACCAGATTGTGACGTTAAAATGAGCTTGTTTGCTGGATAGTGAGCCGAAAGATTACCCAACGTCGAATGTAAAACTGAACACTTTTTCAACAATGACGTCAGCCATATTGGGTCCGCCATTTTGAATTTGGTTCCGATTCATAATCGGCGACATGTGTGTGTGTGTGTGTATATATTTTTAAGAAATGTTGTTTCAAAGATGTATAAAATAGTGTGCTTGTGCAAAACTTGAAGAATTTCGACAAAATTGAAAAAAATTAATTTAAGCTAAAAATGATAACAGATTTCTTCATATTTCGACATAAAAGATAGAAGAGCTATAAAAAATTGGAAACAAATCGGCGTCTGACGTTCCCCCCCCCCCCCGGGGTTTACTTGTAAGCGCTGACGAAACTAGTATCTGGTATATTGTCTGATTTATCATCACGTTAACCGATCCAACTAATCTCTCTTCCCCGTGTGTATAAAAAATAATTGGACATCTGATCTGCATGTAAAAGTTTTCGCAACAGTTTTCGGATTGGAATAGTTTCGTTTCCCCTGAAAAAAATGCAACAAATCCCGAATAGTCGTCCCGCGATACCTGGCTATGTGCAATTGGCAAAAGCGTCGCTCACGAATCGCCGCGATCGAAGAAAAGCAGGCCGCCGTACACGAGACGAAGAGCCTGCTTTTCGCGACAATAACGACACGATGACACGATCGGACGAGACAATCGATGCGACATTAACTAAGGCGCGTCGGACGGAATCTCCATACGGCAGCGACAGTTCGCGCTCGCGGAGAGGAGAGCGAAGAGAGGAAATCTCATATAAATCATCGTTCCGCGGCGATAGACATTTCGCCGGTATTTTCCTCAAACTTTTTCATTGATCCGGTATCAAAGGCGGATTCATCCCCGCGATAAGAAGTGCCGTGAAAGTCAGTCGGTCTGTCTGTCGGTCTGTCTCCCCGGCAAATCGTATTTCCCGGAGAACGGTGCGAGCCGTGAATCACCGATAACCGCGAGTGTCGATCTGCCTGTCCCCTCCTGCGCGCGACCCTTGTCCTCCGTTCACCGCCCTCCTCTCCCATCTTCTTCTTTCGCCTTTCGCGCAAAAAGAAGCCCCCTCTATCTATCGATCAGTAATCGTAGGTTTTCGCCTTGGCGCGCCTGCAGATTGGAACCTGCCGGCTTCGTGCTTCACCGCGACCACGCCGAATCGACGGATTACCGCTAAGCCGCTTAAATAAGCGTTCGATTGTGTCGACGATTTAATGCGCATTAGCATTTTAAACCGGCCTTTCAATCCGCGCCGAAAGTTGCCACAATAGTCGTCGCTTTTCGCCGATCCGAGTATTACTAGTCTTAATTGCTTAACTTTATCCGAACGTTGCGGCGCGCGCGCGCGCGCGGATGTTTTTTTCCGCCGGTGCCAACTTCGCGCGGCTTTAAACGGCGTTCGGCTCCTGAGAAGAGAGAAAAAAAGAAAAGAAAGAAAAACGACGAACGAAGGCGCGGGAAAAAAGAAACGACGACGTTGCAATCCGCCGTGTTTATCGACTGGCGATTATCTAAGCGAGTTTTTTGTTATTTATTAGCGCCCGAAGCATCGCGTTAAACGCGATCCCTCGGAACAACAGCTCGCTAACAGCTAACGGGAAATTCGTTTACGAAACCACCGTGGTATTTTCCGCGGGTGTTTATGCCACTGAAGCGCGCGCGATCGTTTTAACGAAACGCGCCGAAATAATATCCCGCAACAATTCCGCGGAATTGTGTTTCGCCGTAATAAATAATAAATCGCGCGGACCTTCCGCAAAGAGATGACGCGCGCGCGCGCGCGCGTTCATAAGTAATACACGACAAATGTTGCGCGCCGCACGATCTCCTCTCTCGCCTCGTTGCCGCGGTCCGATGTCCGATAATTAAATCCACGTAGGGACGTAAAGAGGATGTTAACGTGTGCTGTATATTTTGGCAGACATACCGACACCCACCACGGAACCGACGACGACGAGCACGCTGGCCGTCCCCACCACCGTGGATCTAGGTAAATGTTTAATCATACAATATCGTTAACGATCGCTTTACCACCGCGTCCCATTGTTATTTCGCTTATCAACGGCCGCGTGTGTTCGCGTCAACACCCGTCCGTTGCACGAATATATGCAAATAGCTAACAAACAAACTGTGTTGCTTTCAGTGGAGAACATCCAGTGGTCGCGACAAAAGCCCGTGCCCAGTCTGGAACCGAGCTCTAATGAAATAACCGACGCATCTTTGCCGGCTGTCGTCAGAAGCGAAGGTACGCGCGCGCGCTCATGGTTTCCATTATGTTCTCTCAAGCCTCCTTTCTTTTTTTCCCTTTACGCTACAGTCGACTCAGATCTTCGCATTAAACGAGATTAAAGCTTCGTTGGAAATATAGACAGACGCTCATGATAAAATAGAAACGTAACACCGCGTACGCGCGGAAGAGCGCCGTTTAATTTTATCTTCCAATTGTAGCGATATCGGTAGCGAAAGTAAAAGGGAGAGAAACTGTGTGTTGCCGCGCGCGCATTTCCGCAATATGGGGAATTATATTTCTCTTCGTGGGCTGATGAAATATTATTCACTGTGTAAAGGGAATTTCCGCGGGATGCGATCGCGATTACGACCGATGCGAACGGCCGCGCTGGCAATAATCGCGGGAACTTTCGTGCTTAAGCGCGGCATAAAACATGAAGATCATCGAAATATCATCATCAGCGCAGCCGCGCATCCGTGTAACGCGAGCCCGGGCGAGGGCGGGATCGATAAAATAATGAATAGGTTTCATTATCGAGTTTAATTATCAATTTCGTTTCGTCCTGCATATACATTCGAGTTAAGTACATGCATCAAGTTCGCCCGGCCTTTGGTCAATTTAACGCGACGAACATTACAAGTGGTAATTCCGGCGCCGCCGAAATTACCATCACCGTCGTGGCTATTACGATTACGCGCGGCTCGCGACTGTCTCGTGGCGTGTTGTCGAAACAAGTTTGAATATTCAAAGGCTCTCGTGCCTCCTCTACTCCCTCCCCCCCCTCCCTCCCGCCCCCTCCCGGCCGTCGGTGGGAACCCGGTGAAACTTTCAGAGGGGACAAAAATCGAATTAGCCCACCACTCGACGAAGGTGAGATTTGGCAACTGCCTCCGGTCGGCTTCGAGAGATCTGTCCGTTTAAAGCCCTCTCTCTCTCTCTCTCTCTCTCTCTCTCTCTCTCTCTCTCTCTCTCTCTCTCTCTCTCTCTCTCTCTCTCTCTCTCTCTCTCTCTCTCTCTCTCTCTCTCTCTCTCTCTCTCTCTCTCTCTCTCTCTCTCTCTCTCTCTCTCTCTCTCTCTCTCGTGTTCGGACAACGAATTTAAAAGCGTACGTGTGTATCGAAAGCTCGGCACCCCGGACGGATCTCTCTCGGACGGATATCCGCATGCGGGCTTCCATTCGTAGTCCAAGCGACAAGCTCTGGATCTACGCGCAATCCGACGCGTACGAGGGAGCGGGAAAAGAGAACAAGAGGCGGCGCGGGCGGGAGGGGAGGTGAAGAAGAAACACGCGGAAAACACGTCACAAGTCTACAAATACGCAGAGTCGCGACGCGAGCCGAAATTCAGCGGGATACGTCGCCTTAAATCATCAGGCTCGACGTAATGCGAGAACTTACACGCCGCTGGGCAGTGGTGGAACTTTCCTGCGCGAAAGTTTCGCGGAAGGCGCGAAGTTTATTCCGCAAAACTTCCAGCAACGTGCCACGACGCCGCCCACGCGGTAGCCCCCGCGCTGCCTCTTCTCCCTGCCGTTCTCCAGCTCGACAAACGCGACGGAACTCTCGACGGGATTTTGATGAAATCCCATGCGGTTTATGAACTACCGAGAGAGACCGCCGTGCTCAGCCCCTCCCCCCTCTGACCCCGAACTATAGCGAGTAATCTACGCGTCGCACGCCGGGACGCTCGCACCGCTCTATCCGAACTTGTTTCGATTATTATGTAAACCGCGACAGGGGGGGGGGGTATAAGTGAAGTCACGATATAACACCGGAAGAGGCGGCGAATTGGACGGGATCTGGTTACGATCTTCCGAGCGGGCGAACAATGAGAGAACGTCGGCGCAGCGAAAGATAACACGAAAGGGCACTAACGCCGACGTCTTCTTGCATAAGCAATGTTCCCGGCGAAAGAATAAATAATACACTACGAGGAAGATTGAAAAGAGCCGTGCCGTTTCGTGTCGTGTCGTCCAAAGTGGAAAAACAATGGAACATTCTGCGTTGCTTCTCTCTCTCTCTCTCTCTCTCTCTCTCTCTCTCTCTCTCTCTCTCTCTCTCTCTCTCTCTCTCTCTCTCTCTCTCTCTCTCTCTCTCTCTCTCTCTCTCGCTCTCGCTCTCGCTCTCGCTCTCTCTCTCGCTCTCGCTCTCGCTCTCTCGTCTCCAAGTTCTCGCGTGCTCGCGCTTGGACGGTCCCCTCCGTCACGGCGCGGCGCGACGACGTTCCGGAGGTCTTCCGGGGGGGGGGGGCGAGGGTGAATCGAGAGCAGCTAAAAATTACACGGTTAAAAACATAAGAAAGAGGCGCGCGTATGAATATCCGCTTGCTTCCGATTTTCAGAAACGCGACTTCGCGGCAGGCCGAGCCACGAGGAGGCGAGTCACGAGGCTGAGAACGTCATCGACAGCGTCGACAAGCACAAGAAGGCCGACGGGAACATTGGGCCGCGCAGGATCGACAATACGCCGCAGTCGATGTCCTCGAAGAGCAGTACGTGGCATTGCGCGACCCGGTCCAGCGCGGTGATCTGCATAATAGTGCTTTCCGCCCTGTCGTAGTCGTCGCGACGCGACGCGGGGACGACGCGGATCGCATCGAGATCCATCCCGCTGCAGGATCAATCTCTCTCTCATCCTCTCTCATCCGCGCAAGGGATCAATTAATCGACGGGTCGAGGGTAAATAGCGCAGACTCACCGAAAGAGGATCCACCGCTGCCTGCGTAACAGCATACGCCGAACGTCTTTATGAGAGCAAAATTATTACTAATATTATATCATAGCCGAAGCCCACCCACGAGCGTGCAACCCTCGTTGAATAACAATGGAAGACTCCACCGAGAGAAATTTGCCCGCACCGAATTCCGTTTGCAGCGCGAGTCGTCGCGCGAATCGCCGCTTTTTCACGCTCTCGGCTTCTCGAGAGACTCGATCGCGTCACGTTCTTGTGCGAGGATGCATTCGCGTCGCGGAAAAAGAAGAGAGAGAGAGAGAGAGAGAGAGAGAGGGAGAGAAACGAGCGAAATCGCTCCCACTTCATCCGCGACGCGAGCGCATCCTTATTTCCAATAAATTGTTGCGTAAACGCCATCAACGTGTGATTTCAAGCGAAATCTCTGCGTGTTGCTGTTATCGGTGTTCATCGACATCATTATATATTTGCAACGAGTGTGCACCTGGTTATTTGCCGAGCCGGAAATAAATAATGTAATTCACGCGATAATGCACGCTGCAAATACCCGCCGCTGCCGTAATAGCATTAACGGACTTGTTTGTTCATTCGTTCATTTCGCTCGGTACGCGAGCCGAGTTGGTTCGCTTTTCCTCCTTCCTCCTTTTTTTTTTCTTTTTTTTTTATCGGAGATATATCCGCTGCCTCGTGAGAGCGATCGATAATCGTCCCGAGTCGCCGTCGTCGTCGAGCTGTCAGCCAAGTTTCATCCAAGTCCAGCCCAGCAATCGAGCGTTTCCTCGGAACGGACCCCCCCGGCGTGACGACGATTTCTCTTATCTGATTTCACCGTTATCGCCAAATTCTTCCTTCCAATCTTTCTACCGTCGGGCGAAAGGGAGAAAGAAGGAGGCCTTCAAATCGCGCTCATCGTTAGCGAAACGAGATCTCCCAATTTCTTTCAAAGAACTCGATTCGGATTTCTCCTTTGATGCCCGGGCGGCTTAGCCAGAAGGCTTCCGCGAACATTCGTGTCCAATTCGCAATTATATATCGCAAGGGACAGGATCGATCGCTCACGACACTACTACGGCGTTTCAGTAGATGGACCGTCCGTGCACATACCACTTCTTCCGCTTGTTTGCACCGCTCGATATGATTCTCAACGCGGAGGGTTAGTCGACCTACCAAACTAAGTGTGTATAAATTAGTGCGTAAGCGTAGAAGTTAAAGCCGTGTGACGTGCGATACCGAGAGAGAATAAGTCGCGAACGGTGCATAAGATGCAACGAAAAACAGCCGGTACTTGTACATTCCCAGGATTAATCACTTGCATATACGTGTAAATAACGAGTTACGATCTCGCGCGGATCTTTCCGCGCTATTGTCGCTGTACTAATTGTATCGATAAGAACGGTTTTGTACATACCGAGTCTCCCCCGCGAACGCGCGTAGACTAAGAGTGTGGGTAGTCGTCGACGTTTTTATATATGTGAATGTCTCAGCAAGTGAAATTATCGTCTCTCCGAAACACAGCATGTATGCCCGAAAAACGAATCCCCAGTACGAAGTCACCCTCGAGTCTTTTCGCGTCGCCCGGTCTTGAGTTGTCACGATCGAGAGAAACGTGTGTGTAACGTTTCTACCGCAACGCGGCCACGCCGCTACGATTAGGGTTGGTTGAAGCGCATCTTCCAATCGCGAAGACGCTTATGATCGCGCGAGGTGACTTGTATACAAAAGTCTCGCATCGAATTGCTACCCCCCGAGACTAGTATTTTGTATTCACGCGCCGAAAGTATTTTTGCGACGTATTATTTATATCTCATTATTAAGCCGGACGCAAATAAAGGACATATTTAGTATACCGATTTGAAATTCACGCGGCTGGGAATAGCCGCGAGCGCGCTCTCTCACTGCGCATGGCAAGTTTTGCGCGGGAAAACGGCGCGACGCTCAAAGCGCGCGCCGAGAACGATCTGTTCGCGTTTCCGCATTCAATATCGACGTGAGGAGATTCGACATCAACCCACGTCCGCTCAATGATACAATCGAATTTTGTCGATTAATTTAAGTGTCTGACACACACACACACACACACATACATGCGCGCGCGTATACACAAACTCTACATGTCAGTCAAACACAACTTCGATACGAACAGTGTGTATTCTGTGTCTCAACTCAGGAGCTCCACGTGTAAATATTAATCAACCGGACTATGTTACGATCGTGTATTATAAAATGGATGGAACCCCTGTAAATAATCACGGCCGGCTTTGTATCATGTTATATAGGATGGTACACGATCCATTATGATGACACACGTGTGTGTAACTCTACTTTCTAGATGAGGTATTACTAAATATACGTGTACATATATTTGTTACAACGTTATATATATATATATATATAAACTATCGTCCGCGGTTAGTACGAGTTTTTCACAATTTCCCTCAAATTGTTTGTTCAATCGTCGAGGCGTGCGCGATTCTGCCGCATTCCGAAGCTATAAACTCGACGTTGAAGGCGTTCAGTTCAGAGTCATCGCGCGCGTTTTCGCGCGCACGCACATGATGTCACACGCGGAACATCGCTCATTCTTATCGCGAGCGTCCCGTACCACTCGAATCCAAATTTCCGTTAGTCGTACTTACCGGTAGCGCCCGTCGATGCGAGAAAAATCGATTTCAGTGAGCTTACTACCGCTTCCTAGAGGCTAATATCCGCAGAACGACTTTGAAACGAGATTCCACAGAGACGTGGAGGTCCCGAGGAGTATTGTAAAGAGAATTATGTTTCCAGCGCCGTAGTGTCAGTAGCATGACGAAAGACGTTGTAAACTGAATGGACGAATGCAACTGGAATGAATAAATATCGAATGTTTAACCCACTTTGTATCAACCCTCTTCCGTACACGTCTCACCAGCCGGGAGGAGCGTCTCCCTTGACGGACGCGACCGTTCCATCGCGATGAAGCAATTAATCGCGCGTAAGGTCATCTTGAAACGTCTCCGCTCTCTCACTCACGGAGAGAACCGAGATTCGCGCTGTGATTAATGATCCCGCGTATTCATGCTGCGCGAGATTAATCTCAGAGCGCCGCCCCCGCGCGGTGTGGCGAGAACTTTGAAATATTCAGAATTAGCGAGGGATTGGCAGGCGGGTCACCTATTCGCAGTTACGATGCGCTCGCGATTCAGTCGCGTCGAATAATGCGAAGTACCCCACGCGCGAGGGGACGCCATACCGCCGACCGGTTCTTTGATGTATGTACGCATGCAAACAGCACGTATCCACGTATTGTAGCTCTCTCTCTCTCTCTCTCCCTCTCTCTCTCTCTCCTCGGTATAGATGAAATACGAGACGGCTCTTTATGTGTCTATTGAAAGCAGCACGTGAGTGGCCCATTCTTCCGTGTAAGCCCGCGATATATTCCATCGATGTGGCGTGTCGAGGGCTGACCTGGCAGCAGACGCCGCTCGTTTCATTCGATTTACATTCGAGGACAGTTGTCAAAAGCGCGAGAGCGCGCCAATGGCATCTCGCGCGTTACATAGCGGTGAGCCTTATCTAGATCGCAGCGCTCTATACAGCGTCGTTCGACGGGGCAGTGTGGATCGTCACGGCAATAATGAAGCGAATCCACTTTGCAGCGATGCTCCATATTGTGCGAAATAACGACTGCGGGATGATTGAATTGTGAGACGTAGCTCGAGACGAAAGCATCATTGACGAGGACTCTCCTTTTCTTCGGGAAAGACGTATGTATGTTCGCGAACCTGCAATCTTGCAGGCTCAGTCGCGGGGAACGGCCCGGCAGTTGTGCGCGCGAGCAAACGAGTCTCGCTCTTTTTCGCGATTTTCGGGAGCTGGAATATACTGGAGAGAAGCGAGAAGTTAAGTAGTAAATTTGTATTTCATGTATACACGAATATCTTTCTCCGATGTCGACAGTGCTTACAGGACTAGATCGCGTGCGAGAAGCACGGGCAGTGGCGCAACCAGATCGACTCTGACGAACGCGAGACAATTGCGACGCGTCGCGCGACGCGTACGTAATTAAACAATCGTATTAGTCTACGCTTTATTGTTTAACGACTATCTGCCGGCCCATGGCGGAGACATAATCGTGGAGACATCTGTAATTTACAGCCACATTATCGAGCCCGCTGCTTCAAAGACGAAGGGGACGCGCGGCTCTCATTGTCAGCGGCATTCGTCCCGACATCGATCTTGCTTTACATGCACAATAGCGCGGTGGCGATCCTCTCTCAACCTTGTAACAAAATTTTACGAAATATCCCGGGATGCGAGAAACGAGACGTACTCAAAGTAAGTCGTCCCTTGCTTTATTACATTATGCGAGAGACACGTATAGTTACGCCACCAATCAGCACAGACAATGCATTCTACCTGTACACTACGACACTTTTTTTTTGTTTCTTTAATATTTATACCTCGTATAGAACTATGCGGTATGTATAGATATATATATATATATATATTTACTCGCCGCATGGCGCGCCACGTAGTACTTGATTAACCGCCCGCCACGACGCATCCCTCTTCTTTTACCCTCTACGATTCGTAATTATTCAGCTTTATTACAAACGCCGGCCCCGTCATCACTCGCCGCGACATATTACACGCGTTGTACGATACGTCTAAGATGTGTTCGGTATGTTATCTACAATGCCGATGATACAAAAGTAGGTTGCTCTGAGTTATCTTCGATATTGTTTAATTGTCGCAGTCGCTAAGTTACTCGTAAACAATTCGCGATCGTAAACACCATACGGGTGTAGGTAGCGTGGAATCGATGATGGAGACGCTATATACGACATATACGATATTTTATACGATAAGTAGGGCGTGAAAGTTCGCAAGGACTCGCGGCTTACTCGCGCGTGCGACGACGACGAGACACATCCGAGAGAGAGAGAGAGAGAGAGAGAGAGAGAGAGAGAGAGAGAGAGAGAGAGATCAAGGCTCACTCGCTCTCTCGCTCGCTCATCCCGATTGCTTTGCTCATTGTTCGACGTACGTGAGACGTCCCTCCTGTTCTATTTTTGCGCTGCTTGAGCCACTCGGCCAATGGATCTTATCTCGGCCCTATTTTCTATTATTCAATTGATGATTGTTTATTTACCCTGTTGGGGAGACCGGTGAAACCTCAAGAACTTACGCACCCTAAATAACAATCAGTCGAGGCGTCGAGTGTTATTCTTAGTTACAATGCGCAATGGTTCAACCGCTGGTTAATATTGCTGGCGCTGAAACTAAGTTTCGTCGATGAAAGTCGCGTCGAGACGACACCTTCAATAACTTGTTATTCCGCACATTATTCGAGAGAGCAAATACGCTTTAATATTAAGACGCTTCTAAATGATATATCCTTGGTGAAACAAACTTTTAATTGACGCGTTACCGAAGATATGTCTTTCGTAAAAATGATTCTTACAGTCATTCTCTCGTATCGAAGGAACACGAATGGAGATTGATATGTTTTTCTCATATGTGGAAATATCATGTTAACGCTCGAAATACCATTGTGTGTGATAATAAGAAAGGATTGAGAGTATTCTCTTATGCTGATATAATTAATAGATTTCTCTTCGTTCTCGTGACAAGCCGCGATTAACTCTCGCGTCGCGGATTCTCAGAGAAGCGCTTTCTAGAGCACTTTTTTCGCGTTTCCGATACTCAAATATTTTCTCTAACAATAAAAGAAAGTCAGAGAGAGAGAGAGAGAGAGAGAGAGAGAGGGAACTCGTCTTTCTTCATTTCGCCATACCTATTACGCTTCCACTTTGACCCATTTCGAAATTGAACCGCTTTCATATTGGGTATTCAATAATAAGCTCTCTATTTGCATACGTATACATAGGTATACAGATCATTGAACGAAAACACAAAACGCCATACGCAAACCCCGCGTCGTAGTTTGCGTATTGCACTATGACTCAGATTGTACGAGTACAATATGCCCCAGTTTGTAGAATATGCGCTCTGACAGCTTAACAGAAGTTCCGCAAATATTTGCATCAATTACAATTTGTCGTACGACAAGGTAAATAATAAGCGTTACGGAAATTACAGTTATTTGTTAATTGCGACGCATTAGCGTAAGACACATTAGCTGAAAGTGAGGGAGGAAGGAGGGAGGGGGGGGCGTAAAGCTTGATAAATAATTCATATCGCCGAACGCATTCAATTATCCGCGGTGATTTTGTCAATTTTGCACAGATTTGTCCTTGAGAAATCGACTCTTCTCTTGTTTCGCGAGAGAAGAAGAGCGCGTTCGCTAGCGCTCTCGAGTGCACGGTATTCGGAATTAATCGTATTTTCCCGAGACGATTTGTCTCCTTTCTCCTTTTCGACACGTCGCGTCTTTTGCTTTTCTCGCACCGTTCCTGTGTGTGATCGGTCAGTTTCTGAACTTTTCTTCTCTTCTTTCACTCTCCACACGTGAATAGACACATTTACGCGTCACTGGTATGAGGATTGAGAACCTCTTCGAAGGTGCAACTGTCGAGATCTGCTTCTATATTAATATGTACAGTACTCGTAGAGCGATATAAAGCGCGAGATCTGTTCATCACACCGCACATCGACCATTGCTCGGAAACGTGTGTGTGTGTGTGTGTGTATGTGTGATTTAAGGACGCCGAGAAAGCCTCCTCAGTCTTGACTTAAAGTTAGTAGCTGTACGTAGCCTAGATATAATTATTCTTATCATACATATTATATACAGATTACGAGATATATTCTGATTCTTCGTCCGAGAATATCCAGTCGCGAAAATGCGAAACGTGAACACACACGCTTTAATGAGCTAGTTGTCAAGTCCAAATGAATATTATACGAAGAATACAACCCCTAACCCTGTCCTCTAGAATAGAAATTAAAATGTGCAAGTCTCTAGATATCTAATATGTAACGGTTATACTGTTCACATAATTTATAAATGGAGGATTATTCAAGCGCGATTTTATGCAAAAATAGGATAACTAAAAGTCGATTGAGTCGATTTCGCCTGACGGATCCGAGCAGAAATCCGAGGAGAAATCTGACATCTCTTCACGCAAATCTGTCTATATGTATGTATATATAGTACATATACCAATATTACGCTAATACTATACATAATGTACTATACAGAGAGTCATTGTAGAGTAGGTTCGGGCTAACGCGCGAATATCCGTAGAAATTCTGACCCAGAATGTCCGCCGAGATTTTTCGCATGAAACTTGAAGCGATCACTATGGATATAATAATCCGCCTCGGATATATTCTACGAGATTAATGCTACTTACACTCACATACCACGCACGGTAATCACCTGCTCGAGTCAACAGTCAGATTGACGGCAAGCGCTTGGCAAACGACGCCGACCGACGTCAACGTATCGATGCAGCCTCAAAGGATCGAAGCTCATTAGAGAAGGTGACTGTCAGACACCTGTCGAAATTGGCCTATCGATGATTACGCGCTTATTACTGCTGATTCACGTCGTGAAGAAGAAGAAAACAAGGAATTATGCGTGCCACTCAATCTAAAAATAATAAGACATTCCTCGGATTCCTGCAATATAAGAGGAAAGCGGAGCGACTTTCTTCCGCTTTCTCTTTCTCCTTTTTCTCGCGAGCAGATTGAGAAACATTAATATTCGTCGTCGTGAAGAGACGCGATGAAAATTAAACATACATCTTCGATCGCTCGAAACGAATTCAATTAAGCGCGATTATTAAATAAAAACGTGCTCCCTAAGCACCTTCCCGTTCTTCATTCTTGTACCGTGAACGAATTTCTCAATATATCCTAATATTACTCTCTGAAGTCATCGAGAAAGATCAACAGGGCGAGCAAAGCTGCGGCACTGCGACTAGTCTCTCGCTCTCTCAAGCGGCTCATCCTTCGCTCGAGTTGGACAGCTCCGCTCCGGCCTACAGTTTCTCTAATAAGCTCTTAGACAGTAACTGCTATCCCCTGCCATTACTTCTCTTTTTAATACAGCCACATCGATGCATCGCTGTACATCGCTCGGCCGTCGTTTCGCAATAATGATCTAACGCGGGGATGCGTCACCTGTCCGAGTAGCCAATTAAAAATGACACGAGATGACGGAAATTGTTCGTTCTCCGCTTCTTCATAGAAGACCGTTTCTCTTCGGGATGAGACTTCACGTTTATTGCTCGACGTTAGAGATCGATCGTTATCGTTATCGAACTGCACGGCTGGAATGCGCGCGTGCTCATCGATCGCCGAGCGACGTCTCTCCCTCTCCCTCTCTCTCTCTCTCTCTCTCTCTCTCTCTCCCTCCCTCTCTCTCTCTCTCCCTCTCTCTCTCTCTCTCTTTCTCACGCGCATTTATTATGTCATAAAGAATTTATTATAGAAGTGCGATTAATTGACACAGAGCACCATATCCGCGGATTAAAATAGACGGAAAGAGCGAAAACAGGTCAAAATGAGATCCCCTTTTAAAGGTTCCAATTCAGAAGCTGAATTAATTTAATTATTTAATTTGCATGTTTTTCAAACTTTTCGAGACGGCTGACCCGCGAGCGTGGTCTTTGTTTATTTGCTCGTTCGATTCTCGCGTTAGGCGCTCCGAGTTTACGGACATCTCCGTGACGCGGTTGCTGACGCAACCCTTAAAATATATCAGAGCAGTCGTTCCCCGACGTTGTGCAACGATTCCAGCCACCCACGGGACAGATCCACGCGTCTAACTCACGCTGCCGCGCACTCACCGTCCGACACTGACCGTGTCATCGAGTCACAAACCAGCCTTAGCGAACTCCAACGACGACAACGATGATGAACCTCTTCCTAGTCGCATTCGGTCGGCCCGCTCCTAATCGCTAACGCTACTTATACAGTATATTATTATCTTATCGTACAGTTAAAGTGGTCAGCGCGGTAGATCCTCGACGATATTCATCCTCGACTGAAGTCCCTGAGCGATGGATTTACAAGTGGATGTACAAAGTCTCGATGGTTCGATGGTCGAAGTACGGGCGCGACGTGCGCGCACGGCACCGTGTCGTGGACAGATCTCAGGCCGGATGCAGCGTTCGCATCTGCGGATGGTGATGGAGGCAGAGGCACAGCGCAACGAGGACCACCAAAAGTAACGAGCTGCCGTTGCTGTTGGCGCTGGACTCGTCGTAGTCCGTCACGTCGCCGCCGTGCTCTTTGCGGCCGCGTAGTTTCAGGTCTGGGGGAATAGATTTCGAGACTGTTAAGATTTCGAGACGACGGCAGACGGCACTCGCGGGGACAACGGTAACGCCGGAATATCGAAAGAAAAAGAAGAAGCGAGCCACTTCGGGATTCTGCGCCCGGGAAGTGAAAGGAAACGAACGTGCGGTGTCGAGTTTTCATGCTGAAAAATCCCAATCCTGCGTGAGGAAATTTGAGAAAATTTGCAACAGCGCGGATAGGAGCTGGGAGCTGCAGGGAGTATGGAAAGGATTGCTTGAATTTACGCGACGGTTGAGCGAACTAAAGGCGTGTTTTGGTTGAAAAGAAATGGAAGAATTCCTGCTTCTTCGAATAAAATTAGAGCAAAAATTGGGTCGTGAAAATGGAGGAGGAATTCAGTTTCCTCCGATCGAGGCGCGCGTACCGTTCGTTCATTATCGCGTTAACTCAACCGATCTCCTTTCTCTGTGTGAGGAACAAAAAGCGCACGTGCGATTATGCGTGTTTAGCAAAATGAAAGTCTGACGCATGTACCTTGTTCTTTCAGCATATCACGATTTCCCTCCAGGATATCGTTCCCTGAATTATGCCTTAGCTTGCCTGCAAACAGAGGGATATTGAGCGACACCATCATAGCATCGGAGCAGATTTTAATATTATCCGACGTTATATCCGAATAAACATTCACGAGAGTAAATCCACGACAATATTCATATTCGCATATGAAAAGTTCCGCCCGCTCGTCTTCGTTCGACCTGGGCGAGTGTTTTTCGCAGCAATGTTCGATCATTTGTCGATCCACGAGCGTCTGATAATCTTACATCAATGGAAAATCGTTACGCGCGAATTCTCTTTCCTCCTCCGTTATGTAAACGCACGAATATGGATCCAGCGGCCAGCCTTCTTGCTGGTTTGGATTGGTGAATGAATAATTGCTCGATCGAGTCTTATTATTTCAATTGCTTTGTCAATTCCATCTTCTTTGATTAATTGCCCGCTGGGCGTAATTTGTTCGGCGACGTGGTGTCTGGTTTCGGCTGGTACGTCACAAGGCTACTAATGACGACGATTGTTAAATCAATTGTCCGGAAAGTAGTAGCGGCGGCAGTAGACACGAAGGGAGAAAACGATTTGCAAGACGGCGGGGAATTCGCGTCTCTGAATAAATACATATCGGGTTCGCGGCTCAAATGGCCGAGACAAAATTTTTACGATATAACGTCGACATGGCAAACGCCGTCTTTTTCCCTCTCTTTTCCTTTAATGCGCGCGCGCGCGCGATGTGTTTCAATTTAGCGGGAGTAATTATTCTATCGAAACAATCAACACGCCTCTCGATTCTCAGCTGCGAATTCTTCGTGTCTTCGCAAGTCCGTACGGCAATCGGAGAGCGACTCGAGGCAGCGGGGTGGTAAATAAAAATTGCGCTCCAGTTTACTCTGCTTGGCAGAAATATTGCGAATTTGGTGTAGTTTGCGCAAAGCTGCGGCAAGTTTAGTCTTAAGCAGCGATAAAAAGGGGGAACGGTAGCGGACGAAGAGGTGGTACTCGGCAGTGGGTGTGTTTTCTGTCGCTATTGGAAAAGCGATCTAGCGTTTTGCCGGCGGTGGGAGAGCCGCGAGAGTTCGTTTGTCTCCGTGAAAAATGCAGCCTGGACCGTGTGTTTTCTCAAGTAATGAGGAGAACGAATGACATAGGAGAGCGAGAGAGAGAGAGAGAGAGAGAGAGAGAGAGAGAGAGCGAGCGCGGGACCGTACTCGCACTCGGTAAGAGAGAGATGGTGAACTCGGAGCAGATTGCGAAGGGACTTAAGGTATGACCAATGTGTTTGCCCTGACGTTGTTAAGTTTTCTCGCGTGCGCGCGCGCGCGCGTGGAATTCCGCGAGCGTCGCGCGCTTTTGCATAAAAGAGAGAGAATTGACCCGCGCTTTATATCCGCGCCTCCAATATATCTTTTCCTCCAGGAGAAGAAAATGAGCGAGGCTACATCGCGAGATACACGCGCGGAGGGATCGAAGCAATCTACCCGGAAACGAGCGAGATGGAAATGAGCGACAACGCGACGGACACGTCGTTTCCAAGTTCCTTTGTCTTGGACGATGTGTTAATGGCAAAAAAAAAAAAAAAAAGTATCTATAATAGACCGCTCCTTTCTTCCATTTCCCATTGTCGCTCAAGGGAATCGTATTTCCCGTGTCTCGCGTGCGTCTCGCACGTTTAATTCTCCGGCGCGGCGCTCTTGATTTCTACGCGCGCGGCGGCGCGTATATTCGACCCTCTCCGCAGCGCATGCTCTCGCACCCTGTCTCGCGTGTGGGCCGGGTGGGGAGAGCTTGATAAAATTGAGCCAGGACGTCGAGACCGGTCTCTATAAATCTCCCATCGCGATGCAACATCGCCTCCCAATCTGTTGGCATCAAAATATTTTGCATATATCGATTTCCGGGCGCCGGGCGAACGGGAAGTTGGACTGAAGGCGGGTCGATAATAAATCCCGGATTTTTCATTACGATGGCGCGGAAGATACTTGGTGAAATATGAAAGTAAGCCGCGTTCATGAGCGGCTCGCGTTGACGTCGCGCCGATTATTTATCGCCGCTCGCCAACACCGACACGCGCAGCCGCCGCTAATTATGATAACTCCTACACGCGATCCTCTCGCGATCTTCGCGCGTGTGTGTGTGTGTGTGTGTGTGTGTGTGCTTGTTTTCGAGACAAGAAAGAGAAAAAAGAAAGAAACCACGTCCCGACGTCTCCGACGCGGCGGCATTGATTCCGCGGTGAGACTCGTGCGCGCGCGGATAACGCGGATGCGGGACGATTTAGCAAAAGGAGCATGCGCTAAATACGCGCTCCAAATTCATACGTCTTTATATCGCACTTATATGCGTCGTCATTTCGCCGGCCGCAGTACGGCGATTGCGTCGAAGACACGCGCGCGACGAGACGAGACGAGACGAGACGAGACGAGAGCGGCGCGCGCGGACTCGCTCGCGGCCGGAAGGAGCTCGCGCGCGCCGTAAAAACATCGATTAGCCATAAAACGAAGGCGGGGCGAGATGTTTAAAGTTTTCCCGTTGCGAAATGAACCATTAAAGTAGCGGAGCGAAGACTCGAGCGTCTTCGAGCTATATCACGGGCGTCGGGAGTGTCTTAAAGCACGTGCTTCAAAGAATGAATTTTATATCGGCGTTCTTCATCCCGACGCGGTGCACGTCGCGGTGCGCACACAGGCGTAGCGCAGCGCAGTGCTCTCTCTCTCTCTCTCTCTCTCTCTCTGCGTTACGTTGCGCAAATTACGGGTTGTCATTCGATGAGGATTTTTGTTTCATTTGATTCCCCGGCACGGCATGGCCGAGGTAAATCTACGAGAGAGATTCGCTCTTGAAAAACCGCGGACGTACCGAAATGCGGACGAGCGCGTGGGATGAGCTCGCGCTGTCTCTCTGCGCGACGTTTCAAACGACGGATACATCTTGCGACAAGGACGAAAGAAAGGAAGAAAGAAAGAAAGAAAGAGAGAAAGAAAGGGAGAAAGGAATAACCGCCAACGTAGGATAACAAAATACTTTACGTGCGCTTAGTTAATACCCGGGCAAAGCACGGCGAAATACAGGCGCGGAGCATGGCGCACGGCGAACACTGACATGTAATTTACCATCTCCTTTGAAGGTCCGATGTATTGTTCCACAAAGCTCTTCCCGTATTATTATCTCTTTGAATACATCAGCGTACTCGAAATACCACGCCGAGAGGAGAGAGGACGCGTCCGCGGTAAAACCAAATTGGTACTCTAAACGCTCGTCCGCCATGTACATTTTGCCCTCTCAATTTTTGTTTGCGTGTTAAAGACAGATCCGATCCTATAATAACGCACGAAGAAATAATGACCGAGTAGAATATCTCGCGGTTAATACCGCGATCTCTCCTTCTCCCTCGCATTGTGTGTGTGTGTATGTACCCCATTTCACGCGTTATTATCCCGCGACGGCTGTTTTATTCGTTGAAATATATTATCCGCGGGGCGCGAACTCTCGCGCGACGGTACGGCTATTATAACTCGGCGAGTAGAGGCCGAGGTTATTTCTCCCGATGTTTCAAAAGTAAACGAGAATATTCTGTTTCTATCCTCTTTTCCCGGAGAGCCGGAGTCCGGGACGAATGATCTTGCCGAGATACATCTTGTGCGCGACGTGATCCACGGGAAAGTGTGTTACGCACGAGCTGTAAGACGTTAACGCAAGAGTACACGCGAGAGGAAACCGAAGAAGGGAGAGAGAAGGAGGAAGGCCGAGTCCCTTTGCGGGCAGCGCGGTACAGCACAGCACGGCACTGCCCTTTTTCTTCGCGATGAAAAGCTGCTCGGTGGCGGTAGGTGCGCGAGCCGAAATGGTATTCATTCGGGTCTCTTTAAAAAGTCGTTTCTCTAAACGTCTATCTCGCTATCGCGACCGCGCCGCGTCGCACTCGTGCTCGCGCTCGCGAGTTCTGCATTCTGCGCGAGGCTGCGTCATGGGAGAGGCGGGGAAAGAGAGAAAGATAGAGAGAAAGAGCCTGCAACCGACTTTTGTGCGCGCTCCCGCGCGACGACGGCCTGTCGTGCAAACGAGACGGTCGGTTCGCGAAACCCGACACGACGACGGCTCCTATTCATCCGCGATTTCACCCTGAAATAGTGCCGACCCTCTCCTCTCCGTGCCACCACGCTCTGGCTCGACGACGACGACGACGACGACGACGACGACGACGACGACGACGACGATGACGACGACGGCGGCGGCGGCGGCGGCGGCGGCGGCGACGACGGCGATGGCGGTTTCGAGACGACGATGGCGGTGGTGATGGCAGAGGAGCTCGAACTTAGTCGGATGGAAAACTTGAAATGCCTTAACAAGCACGGGTGACACAGATTCGCGTGGACTGGTATATGCTTTTGTCACTTTCCAGCTGTGGGTAGAGCGCGCGCGCTTTTACGTTTCGTTAATGGAAATTATAACTCGGAAAATATCGCGGTGTGCTGTATAACCCAGAGAGAATCCTCTCCCCCTATTGTCGGGGGATCGGAGGATAAAGGAGGTTAAGAGGAGGACGTCGAATTATATTCCCGGGCTAATTTGCCCTTCCCTGCTGTAATTATGTGTACTTTTGCGACGATCGCGAGGAGGCTGCAATTCGCAAAGCGCAACGTTCTGAAAAGCCCGCGGATAGAGAATATGATGTTCGTTCGTGTTATCGAAGATGCCGAGGAACGCGGAAGATAAAAAATAACGGCGAGATTGCACGAGAGCGCGATGCGATTATCCGATGTTAAAATGCGCGCTTGTTCCTCCGGGCTGGAGTAGAGGAGTGTTCGATGTGTGGATTCGATCGCACAAACTGGCTACTCGATCTAATTAATCAGCGACCCGTTCTCTCTCTCTCTCTCTCTCTCTCTTTCCCGTCTACCTCTCCCACTCTCGCCGCAAGTACGCTTCATCATTCAAAAAGTAGCTCTCGACACAAAGCGAGCAACAGGAGCGAGTGATTGATTTATATTTCGAGATTCGGAAGAAGCCGTTAATTAATTAACGGCTTAACATTTCAACAGGGCGCGATTTCGCCCGAAATTGATAATGCAATATCCGCATTCAACGGCGATTTTCTTCGAATATCTCGAGTCGGGTCGATTGTGGGAAACGAGCTCTCGCGCGTTGCATCTCCGACGCCAATTTCACGGCATAACGGAATAACAGCGACCCAGCGCGTAAGAGGGTAAGATTATACATTCGCGAGCCATCTCGTTTCAAGCGAGGCAAGAAAAGAAAGTAACGTACCTTTGTAGTTGGTGCTGTCGTTGGAATTGGAACTCGATATCGCTGAAACAAAAATTACATCGTTCAGGTATGATTCAAACGATGCCGCATAGCGCCCTCGCCGAGTGCGCGCGCTCGTCAAAGTGACGTCGAGCACCTCAAACGCGAGCCGAAGAATGCCGCGGCGCGTCTCGGAGGGCGCTCTTCTCCGTCCGAAGGGCGGTTCGGCCGAGCGGCTGCAGGCGCGAAATAACGAGACGAACGCGGATAGTCTTTTCAAGTCACACTCTAACTCACGGCTTTGTTTATGCATGCTCTAACTCACAAAGGTTCTAACTCCTTGTTATCTTTCACTTTACGAGTGCAAACAATTTCGACGCGCCACGATGCAAGCGTGCATCTATACATTTCGCATTCGGCAGCTTTCAGACCGGCGCGGCGCGGCGCGGCGATTCGCAGCGCGCGACAGTCGCGAGTATACAGGAAGTTTCGCGAGCTGCGATTCCGGATCGGCCGTTCCCCTTGCAAACGCCGGAATATTTTTGCGAAGGATTGTTTTATTCATAAGCACGAACACTCTTAAGAATATAAGATCCGACGTGCCTTTCTCTCTCCCTCCCTCCCTCCCTCCCTCCCTCCCTCCCTCCCTCTCTCTCTCTCTCTCGCTCCCACTCGCTCGCTGGAGAGAGAGTCTTCTCCCCCGGTCTCGACGTTTCATAAAAATTCCAACAGTTTTAACACAGCTGCTGCTTAATAAGCTGCCGCCGCCGCTGCTGTCGGCGCGACTCGACGACACGCGGATTCGGAGCTATGTAGGGACATTTCGCCTGTGAATCCGCGTCGCGTCAAAGTAAACGGACCGTAATAACGAGTGGCGTAATTTCATTAGGGTTCGCTTCGCAAAGATCTCCCCTGTCGCACTGTCGCCGGACCGAAACGCTTATCATCGCGGCCCTATCGCCCGCGCGGAGAGAGACGCGCTCCTTCGTCGGCGACGAATTTTCGCCGACGATAATCGCGCGATTATACTTACGATAGACCTTGATGCTGCCGTCGGTGTCGCCCAGCGAGTTCCTGGAGACGCATTTGTACGAGCCGTAATCGGACGGACTGACGGAGCTTATCGTCAGTCTCATTTGTATCTTGTACGCGTTATCCACCAGCACCGGCTCGTATTTCCCACCTGCAAGGAATCGCGATTCCGTCAGTATGCACGTGTACGTCTATGTATAAACGTTCATACGTGTGCGTACACATACACACACACACACATACACACACACACACATACACAATGCGATTATACCCTCCGCTTTCGTCATGGTTAAAAAATAAAAAATACGTCCACTTGAATCCAACTGGTCGCCGAATTACGCTGATCAGGTTACAGCGATATCTCGAAAAAATGATACGTAAACATTATATCTGCGCGTGAATTCTCTCTTTGGCCCAATTTCAGAAAAATCCCGCTTAAATCAACCGGACGCGAGCGCTTGCGCAGGCGTACGCCGGAATAGGAAAAAAAATTCTTTTTTCCGTCATGTGCTGTCAGTCATGTCTGACCGGATTCAGCCGCCATTCCCTGATGTGATTTACTTTTTCGGTCGGGACTTTAAAATAGAAATACGAGCAGATCGCGAATATTTTCATCGGGATATGCAGCGATAATCGAGGGCTTTTAAATGACCGCCTGCTGTCCCTCGCGCATTCGCGGTATGTAGGTCAAGCGGGGAGAGATACGAAAAATCTCATTGAGACGCGAGATCTCTGGCGGAAACCGCCTTCTTCTGCCAACAACAAAAGGCACGGCCGAGCAAAGGGAGAGAGAGAGAGAGAGAGAGAGAGCGCGCGGCATTTAACCGAAGATATCTGTTTCTTAATTACTTCCCGCCGAGAAAACCGGTCGGGCGATTTAATAAGCGGTCGGCGTGATTTATTTGAACGGCGTCTCTCGTCCCTCCCATCTCCTCTCACGCTGAAATTGATTCCGCGTGTACAAAGTGGCTTTTTAATTTACCGAGACGAGATTATCGCGCGAGAGAAGTCGACAAAGAGTCGTGGAAAGCAGGAGGGAAAGAGGAAAGCGAAGCGGAGAACGGAATATTTAACGTCGCGTAGCGTGTCTTCGGTGGAGCAAAAATATTAAGGTCGACCAACCGCGCGAGCGAGCGTCGAGATTTGTTTTACGGCTGCCACTTGTTTGTCGGATAAATACGACACGGACATTCTAAGCAGCTTTTATCGGTGCGTTGGCTTCACGCGCGCACCGCGGCCAAGTAGAAAGTCGACCATTCTGATTCTTTTCCGGCGTTCACGAATGATAATACATCACGCGGTTATTACCTGACATTTCCACGAGTATTCCGTTTTTCCATTAGCCCCACTCATAATGTCACGCGCGATTCGTCAATTTGCTCTTTTTCATTAAATCCCCGGGACGTTACATTGTAACGTAAAATTGTAGTGTAAAATGGCGAATATCGATATTCGCGATCGCGCGGCCGCATTATCCATTATCCGCTTTCAGCCCGCTCCGAGGAGAGTCCGCTCCTGGCGCTCCTGCGCCCTCCGCGCGACGGACCGCGTCCCCCCTTTTGTCTCGTCCCGTTCTGCATTCGGGAACCGGCGTTACTTTTCGCGTTCGGAATCTTACCGAGCCGAGAACCGGAAGCGCTCGCTATGAATGGCATCGATCTAAACAGAAATCACGCGGACTTGGACCGCTCGCGTGTCGAATATCGAAATAGTCACGACAGGCGACGGTGGCGGCGGCGGCAGCGGCGGGCCATCTTCCAAGCTGATTGAACTATTGTGACGTTACCTTTCGACAGCCACGGGAATTCATAGACACGGCTATTCGATCTCAACGGTCGTTTCCGACCCGAAATGGAACGCCGTTTATTCGCGCGCGCGCGTCCGTCCGTCCGTCTATCCGTCAGTCGGCCCGATAAAACGGGCGAACGCGCGCCGGCCGTCCCGATAAAACCGACCTTAGACGATCGGATTGATTATGCAGGCTGTGTCCGGCTGTGCGAACGCGAGGCGCCGAAATCGCCCGACGACGTCGTCGAGTCCGCCACGTAGACATTCGTATTCGAGGACGCGCGCGCTCCAGCTTATCGGCAGATGGACGCGCGAGACGCGCAACCGCTGGCTGATTTATTTGACGAAGCATCGAGAAACGGAAGCTCATTATATCCGGAAAACGCGCTACGAGCCGCGTTTCCGCGCGGCGCAGCGCGCAGCTACGCGCGCATATGGGAGAAGCACCGGTCGAGCAAAATATCTCATTTGTACATCGACTGGCTGCTCAATAAAATAAGGGATTGCCGGATTATTCCCAGAGGATGTCCATACCGAGCATTTGGGCCACAGTGGCGCGGACCATTTTAGCTTGTGTGTGTGTGTGGATTAACATCGGGCGCTACGCGGTCGAGGAGAGCGAGGCGTAACAATGTCCTTTAACACTGCAGGTACTAAGCGGTGAGAAACGAGCGGCTTGTGATTGCCCGGAAAAAATTATCCCGATTTTTATCACGATGCGCTTGATACTCTTAATGGATATCGAATAGAGATAAGACAAGTAGACGAGCATTTGCGCGATGATATTTGTGCGAAAAATTTATCATTTCGAGCGCCTCGATGGGTCGAAATAGGTCGCGCCAATCGTTCTGCTTCTGGCGTTAATTCATTCTTCGCGGAGCCGCCACGAAGTCGTGGTGTATATACTTGAGAATGACACGCGAGACTTTCTGTCGCACTTAACCGAAGAGAGGAGGAGGTTATTGAGAACTCTTATTGACAATTTTCTTTTGTCAGAGCGCTGCCCGCCCTGGCGACGTCAGGATTCGGCAACGGCTGTCAGTTTGTTCTCCGAGGAAAAATTCCGCCTGTATTGTACTCGCCCGTCGACCGAAGGCGATTCCGGGGCCAAGGGAGGGCAGTGGAGGAGACGGGGAGAAGAGATCGGGCGATCCAATTTCTATAGAACGAAACTTGAATTATGCAGAGTGAGTCGTCGGAAAATGTAGGTTATTGAAATCGTCTTGAGCCTCGATGTATAAAGGAGGTCTTCATAAATAGCACGGAGCGTCTAATAAACAGTCGCGCGCGAGCCGATCTCTATGAGAAGTAATCTCCCGATATTTCTAAGTCGCCGCCGAAAAATGTGAAGCCGAGGGATCCGAACTTAACGCTCCGCTGTATCGTTTAAATGTAGCACATGCGCGCGTGATTATACAACGAGGGTAGTCCCAGAAGTGCCTGACCTGACGTACAGATAGCGGTTGTTGTTTGAAAAGAATGACTATGGTAGAAAGTACCAAGCTTATAAAGCTTAAGTTTGAAGTTTGGCGACGCTGCGTTGTTTAGTATTTGTTCGGCAGCCATCAATAGTGAGCGCTCTCAGTGAATTTGTAAACATGGAAAAAATTGGTCATCGTTACGTGATACGATACTTTGATTCGAAAGGCCTCGGTCCAACCAATATCAAAGCGGAGCTAGATTCTACTCTTAGGGGGAGTCTGCTCCTTCGTTTACAACAGTAAAATATTGGGTGGCAGAGTTTAAACGAGGCCGTACGAGCTGCCAAGCAGCGAACATGGCAGTGGTCGACCAAATGAGGTGACCACGCCAGAAACGGTGAAGGAAATCCACAAAACGGTATCGGATGGCCGGTATCGACTGAAAGTGCGCGAGTTAGCAGACATGGTAGGCATTTGAAAAAGTGTTGTACATCGCACATTGACTGAAAATTTGGACATGAGAAAGCTGTGCGCAAGATGGGTGCCGCGATTGGAACAAAAACAGCGTCGTGAGGATGTTTCAATCGAGTGTTTGGCGAAGTTTCGCAGCAATAAAGCCGATTCATAATCATGGATGAAACATGGGTCCATCACTTCACACCTGAGACGAAGGAACCGTCAAAACAATGGACACCAAGATGGCTTGAGGGGCCTATTTTGAGGAGCTCGACGATTCCCACTATAAACAGGGTATCGAAGCTATTGAACATCGCTGGGAAAAGTGTATTGAGCTAAAAGGAGACCGTGTAGAGAAATAAAGATATTTTTTCCCAAATTTTTTGTGTTTTCTTTGTTAGGTCAGATACTTTTGGAACTACCCTCGTATATATATATATATATATATGACACATCGATCAATAAGTCTCGGGACTAACCAACAAATGGCGCCTCTAATAACAAATCCATACCATTCTCAGTTAGTACCAACCTTTAGAAGTTACGTGTCAAATTTTCATGACATTCCGACATTGTGTCATTGAGTTACAGTGGTTTTAGTGACGCTACACCGTGTCACAAGTCGATGGTAACGATGGCCAAATTGCACGAGTTGAACTTCAAATTGCTCCCGCACCCACTGTATTCTCCAGATTTGGCCCCCAGCGATTATTGGCTGTTCGCAGACCTCAAAGAAAAAATGCTCCAAGGAAAGAGATTTGGCTCCAATGAAGAAGTGATTGCCGAAACTAACGCCTATTTTGAAACCAAAGATCGTTCTACACGGCTGGCATAGAAAAATTAGGAAAGCGTTGGAATGAATGTATCGCTCTTGAAGGAGACTTATGTTGATGAATAAAGAAGAATTTTGGCAAACAAATGTGGTTTTAGTAGTTAGTCCCGGGACTTATTGATCGATGTGTTATATATATATATATATATATATATATATAGAGCTGGATGAGTCGCTCGATCATTCACCCGAGTGACCAATCGCAACGTCTTCCCTCGGAACACTGCGGAATCCTACGTTTGACGTCACACCATCAAGAACTATTTCCGATCTAAACGACGAATTCGCGACGCTATCTTCCGCGGCATCGATCACACGGCTGCGTCTTGTCGGAGAACGCGCCCGAGATCGCTCCCGAACATCTTTCCAGTCACGCTACTTGGCACATGCGGCGACCCACCGTGCGACTCGATTGATATTCCTTATTGCCCGCGAAATCACGTGACCGTCGGAATGTCGCATTAGCGCGAATGCACTACATGTCGTGCATGCACGCGGCGCGGCGTGTCTCGCGTCGATGTAATCTCTCTCTCTCTCTCTCTCTCTCTCTCTCTCTCTCTCTCTCCCTCTCTCCCTCTCTCCCTCTCTCCCTCTCTCGTAGAAACAACTTACGGCCGCGCGACAAGTGGACGACGACAGAAACAAAACGTCAGCCCATATTAGCTTTGATCACGGTCGACCAATAGTCGACCGTGCGCAAAAAAAAAGAGGAAACGCGGGATGAGCAATCTCGCGGATCCTGACATCAGGCGGTCAAAAGCGAGCGGCGGGATGAAATTTTTACAATCACGTCCGTTCCGCCGGTTCTGTTTATTTGAATGCTTTCAATTAGACGCAAATGGAAATTGGCCGAAGAAATGAAAGAAACACAGGATGCGCGAGCATGCAATTCGAACGAAACGTTTTCAGCGCCTCGGGCCCAGCCCCGGCACTCATGCCAAAGTGCACTATACCGTAACGAATATGTAACCATAAAAAAAAGATAAACGAAGCCGCCATGTCCGTTTGGAACTCTCAAAAATGAATTGACAGCAAGGTCCGCGATGGTTTAATTATTTTTCGTTGTAGCGCTGATACGCGCCGCCCGCGTGTGTTTTTATGCGTGCCGCCGTCGCGCCGCGCCGCGGCGCTGATCGCGGCTATACGTCAATGTGAATACTCGGCCGCGGAATTTTGACGGGACCCGTTAATCGAACGTTCACGCAATTTGTTCGGAATAAATCTGCCGGCGCTAATCGCACGATTGGCCGATTCCGCCGGCATTCCGCGTTGTTCGAAACATTCGTCTCTACGTTACTCTCGTCGTCGTCGATCGTCGTGCATCGGGAAAGAGCGGGGAAACCGCGAGAAAAGGAGAAAGACCACGAGGAGGCCGCTCTCGAATTTCTTTATGAACGAAATCCCTCCTTAATGCTATTTTATCCGTGTATCCAATCTAAAAGTTAATTCCCCAAATGAGTTTCTACCGGAAACACGTCGTGCTTTTAATTTACACGCGGCCGGGGCCCGGTATATATCTTGGAAATAAATGCGGCAGGAGGCAATATGGCGATTACAAGAGGCAATCTAGTTTTTAATGCCGTCAGATTTATTTATTTAAGCAGTACCAGCGGCGTGTACGAGCGCGCGCGCGCGAACATCTCGCGCGCGCGCGCGGCTCTTCTTTCGGGCCGTTTATTCGACCGGAATTAGCTTCTGAATAATGCATGCGAATCCGGGTAGCGCGTTAAAGGTATAACACGATTTTATCTGGCATTTATGAGGAAGGCTAAGGACGCGACGAGTATGTATATGAACGCCAAACACGCCCGGGCCCGGGGATCGCCCTTTTCTACGTCGTGCGGCCGCGTTATTACATCGCCGCAGCGGTTAGCATTTGCATTTGTATCGAACGCAATAATGTTGCGCACAATGCGAGTTTCGACCCTCTCCCCCCTCCCCTCCCCCCCCCCTCGCCGGCCCATCCGCCGCGTCGCCGATCGCGTTAACGCGTAATCCCGCGTCCGAAGATTTCTGTCAACTGTTTCAACGAGATTGAAAGGCCGCCGGCGAGCATTTCAGCGCGAGCGCGTTCACGTAAATAGCGCGCGTATATAACGTTACACGCAGAATTATATAGGCAGCGCGAGTCCAGGCACGCTAATAAAACTAAACTAATGTGACCGTAAAAGACGCGCGCTCCGAAACGTCGTCGTTACGCACGCCCGGCAACTCTCTCAATCGTTGGACGCGGCTCAATTGACGCGGCCACGTAATTACTCAGCTTTTTTTTTCCATAATATAGTTAATTCCCGGTTGTAAAAGTGCGGTGCAATCGCGCAGCCTCCTCCTGCGCTTAAGTGTACTCGACGGAGCGGTGGCGGTGGGCGGCGGGCGGCGACAGAAGAATGGGCACGCACGTGCGTGTACGCGCGCGTGTGTTGTGCGTTTGTGCGTGCGCGCGCGCGCAAACATCGCGATATGCGAAAAAGATACGAATCCGAAAGGCATGGCGAGAGAATCGATGCAAAGTACTAAAGCCGCCTTTTATAGACGGCGCATAAAGCAGGAGCGAAACGCTTATACTCGCGCTTCGCCGGTGTGCGTGTTTATGCGTTCGGTATGAAGCTTTCATTATTCAGAGGGTTCGTTACAACCAGTTATTTTCCTTGCTACCCCGCGAATGCACACTATGTGAAGGAATACGCGTCGGGGGTGTAATTATCTCTTTCCCTCTTCCCGCCTCCCCCTCTCCCGCCCGTCCCACTCCCACTCCTTGTCCCGCTCTCTCGCCCACTCGTTCTCTCGCTCGCGCGTACAGAGTTACATGAATCATCAAAAAGTGCGGTAGGTGCGTGTTGCGCGGGCGATGCATATTAGAAAAGCGTAAAGTCATCGCTTACCCTCCGTCGGGCCCTTATGACTTTTTCATGAACTCTCCCGGCTGCGAATCACCGCGAAATCTTACCTGGCGATTGTAACATCATCACGCGGCGGAAAAGCAGCGTGCTTTCTCGCGTGAATTTCTCGCGAGCTTTTCGCGAGCGCATCCTTCCAGTGAAATCGTCGCGGCACTCGCGCACTCACCTTGCGGCACTATCTTGTCCTTGTCTCTGGTCCAGTAATTGATAGATTTCGGGAACGCTTCCGACGAGCATTCGAGAGTCAGCCTCTGACCCTCACGAGCGCCCACCAACTGGTTCTGCACCCAAATCATCGGCGGGACTGAAACAAGCGAACCGCACAACTTGGTTTCTGTAACTCGTCGCGTCCCCCTTTCTCCTCTTCTTTTCCAACAGCGATCTTTTGTCTTTTGTCGCGAAACTTTGGAGCGACGGCTCCATCCTTTTCTCTCGTCACTTTTACCATTAATTCCGATCATTTGAGAAATGGTTGAGCGCCGTATGAGCGCATCGATTAATTAATCACGGCGCGCACAATGAGCGAAGAAGAAGAAAAATAAAATAAATCCCCTGTGACGTGTGATTTAATTTGAGTTCGAATTTAATTCTGAATAAAATACATAAGGTGGAAAGAACAATACGTACAATGCACAGTGAGCATTATCCTCTTACTGACGGAGGGCGGCACACCATTGGACGCGATGCATAAATAGGAACCCATGTGCAATCGGTCCACTTTTGTGAGGCTGAAGCTCGAGCCTTCCACGGTTGCGACTGGGCAGCGACGGAAAAAGATAATTATGATATGAAATGTTATATCTCCTGTATCGCGTTAGCGATACCGTAAGCTTTCGATTATTCGCGGCGGGATACGCTATTACTGTCCGTCTCACCCGTCGCTTGTCGATCACGTAACGAGCGACGGCGCGTGGATAAATCCGCAAGGTATTTCCGGTCGGAGATACGCTTATTACCGCGGAATTCAGTCGAAGAGAGAAATTTCATTCGTCGATAAATTGATTAAAGAGAGAAAATAGAAAAAAAGGGGGAGAGAGAGAGAGAGAGAGAGAGAGAGAGAGAGAGAGAGAGAGAGAAAAGAGGCGTGAAAATTGCATCGGGTGGACAAAATTACAGTTGCACGCTGTAAAGGTATCAATAAGTTTGCAGCGAGAATTTCCGTGGGAAATATGATCGATGTTATCGGTGATAAATCGAGATAGATGTAACTTTTACGCCATGACAACGAATGCTTTCGGTGTCAATCGATTTTCGCCGTGAAACGCGGAGCGTCAGTGCTCTGTGTGTGTGTGTGTGTGGAATTCGCCAAATTTTTGTTTTTTATTCTCGGGGGTGTTACAGTTTTCGGGAATTTCGATAAAGTTATAGTTATAGACAGCTCTCGCGCGGTGTACGTGAAAAGTGCGTGACGCTGTTTCTCGCCGAGCTCGGCTGGTTTCACGTCGATATTTTTATTAGCACTGGCAGTTCGCGTAACTGCAGAAATTCCGAAAAAAAAGCTCTCGCGATTATATTCCAGAAAATGTCGTTTTACCGTCAGGTAAAACCGACGAGACGATGATGACGATGACGGGTTAAATCTCGGCTTCGTTCCTAACGGCCAGACCGGCGTGTGTTGAGAGTGTGTGACGACGAGAGTTGAGGGACGGATCAAAATCTACGTTTTATCCGTTTTATACGGACAAAACGACGGGGGGAGGGGGGGGGTGACCTCGTCAAGTTGCTGGGAGAAACGATTCTGTTTAATTCGCTGGACGAATTGAATAACGAAACGCGAGACAGCGTTTGCTCGTACTTTACGCGGAAAATTTTATCGTGTCATATTTTTAAACGCAATCGTCCACCTCGGTGAAGTTCGCCAAGTACGTAGGCGCAACTTTTCCAACGTCAGTACCATTGCCGGCGTCGCATGCGACACGACGGAAATTGGTTGCCGAAGTTTCGTCACTTATACGTTTCAATTTAAGAACGTATTCAACATGTTTACACGCGAGTACGCGTCAAATGCGCGAATTCCCGCCTGGAGAGGACTTATCATCGTTATTGGTCTTAAAAAAAAAATTACGTGGAATTTTGGAAAAGGGAAGAAGAAAGGAACAGAGAGAATAAAATAAAGACGATACGGAAGAAGGAAGTGGCGCGGCGCGTTAGCGTGTTTACTCACGTCGGGACGGTACGGGATGAAAATTGCACGCCAAGTTTCGCCATTTTATCAATGTAACCATTATCACCAAGGAAGAAGGACCACTTCCGCATGCTAAAACGTACTGGGAAAATGCGCAAACTGCTTTGACGAACGACCGCTTAATGCAGCAGCTGCGGACTCGATTCCGAGCAACTCCCCGGCATGTGTGCAACCTCTATAAAGCATTTTAAACTGTGTACCGGCGCACACGGAGAATGAGATGATAAATAAAACACGCCGCTGACTGCTGCGAAATTTTCCGAAATTGTCCGACGAGCTATTCCTCGCAAACTCTTATGACCCATAAAAAAGTATTCGATAGCTTGATCCTCGATGCGGGAATAATAAAGGGATAAACGCGCCTCGACTCGGACAGTCTTATTATTAAATTGCGCACCCCCTCGTAGTAAAATTGCTCGAAAATTAGCGGAAAATAATTACAACGGACGCGATCGTGAAACACTGAAAGAGAGGGACTATCGAGAGCGAGAGAGAAAGAGAGAGGAGAGGAGGTCACACAGCTCTCGCCGTCGTACCGCCATATCCTTTCTCCCCACATTCGAAATTCAAACAGCAATTTACGGAGCGTCGTCAACTCGCCGGCAACACAGTTCGGCGAACACCTGTATTACAGGGTGCAAATTCAGTTGACTTATCCGAAAGTTGAGGCCGCCCATGTCCTACCGCTGGCCACAATTAAATCCACCGGAATATTTGCACGCTGATGACGAATTTAATGCGCTACCGGGGCGTAAATTAATCATCCGTCGCGCATAGACGGGGACAAATCCGCCGGCGAAGAGCCTCGGCGATCTCTCGAGCTTCACTCGTCGATCGCTCTTGTTGCGATGAAGGTAAACAATCGAGGAAGCGCATGTTGGCAAATACAATGTAATATCTCGGCAACTGATGAAGCTAACTCTCTCAAGTTTGAGCCCCGACGAGATAAGATTACGATGTGCCGCGTCCAACTTACTAAATAATCCAATAACGTTTCGGTAACAGTATCCTGATCATGTGATATCATTACGGCGCGCTTCGTCGGATTATTATCGAAAGAGGCCGAGTTTAACGGTACAAACGCGCGCGCGCGCTAAAATGTATCGCGATCGTCTTCGTTCTTCCGGCGGCGAACAAACAAATAAATTAATATATATATATATATATATAAACACACACAATATATCCGTTTATATCCGTATAAGCGAATAAAACTGGGCCGGCCCAGTCGTCGAAACGTGATCGCCTCGCGACGTGGTCTTTCTGCTCGTCGTCCTCCTCTCATCCTCCTCCTACCCGTAGTCGTACTTTAACAGACTAATAGCGTAATAGCGAAACTATGGATAGCATGATTGTAGTTTAAGGTCAGTCTGGTTGTTTATTGTCCCTGCTAACGTAGGGAGGCGAGCGCGCACGCGGAGAGTTCCGGGTCGCGCGTATCGCGCGCCCACGTGTTTGCCAATTTCAATGCAAATATAGAAGATCTTCTCGGTTCCTGCAAACGTATCACCTCGCTCTAACCTATTGGCCTTGCCGCGCGGTATGTTTGCGCTCCCAAGCGACCGCCAGGCTTGATACTCCAAGAGCGGCGGTGGTTCGGATGCACTCGTGCAGTTTAGCCCGAATGTGTATCCTCCGCAAATATAAATCTTTTTTTTCTTTCCCTCTCCCTCCCCCTCCTCCCCTCCTCCCCACTCTCTCTCTCTCTCTCTCTCTCTCTCCCCCCTCTCTCTCTCTCTTGCCGGAGGAGCGGACTTTGCAATCGCGTGCGTGCCGGAGGCAGCTTTTGGCGCGTTGCCGTCGCATTTGGAGATGTTAAAGAGATATTTACTCGGTACGAACTATCCGAGCTCTTCTCTCTCTCTCTCTCTCTCTCTCTCTCTCTCTCTCTCTCTCTCTCTCGCTGTACGTGTGTGTCTTCCTCTTTTTCTTCCTCTCGCGTCAAGATGGGTTTCTGGATATAATAATATCGTGGATCTTTCCAGAGCCTCTGTTTCTCGCGGAGGCGAGGAAGACAGTTTTACGACATCACGGATTTATGAACATTGAGAATTCATCTTGTTCAGTCGAGAAAGCTCCTTAATCGGACATTGAATAATACTTTCGGAGAGCTCGCCGTGCGTCCGCTGCTTTCGCGAGCAGCGTCACCATCACATATAATTGTTTCTTACACGGTCTCCGGACGCTCTGAAAGTTGGAAAATTCATAAACGAAGTTCCTCCCGCGCGTTGCGCGAGTTCGCGCGACTTGGCGCAAATTAAAAAGGACGAGATTAACGCGCGTCTCCTAGCCGGAATATGTCTTATTGCAGCGCAACGGCACACGCAGATAGCAGCGCGAGAAGTTGCAGCGAAAGGGCCGAGGGGGATGTGGCGCGCGGCTAAACTGTCCGTCCGGCGGTCTTTCAAGGCAAACACAGAGTGCAGAAATTTGGCGATCGCGCTCGGTGCGCGCGGCAAGCTTTAATGACACATAAAATACCCGCTGCACTACGGAGACGAGCGACGAGTTAGAGGAGGTGGGTTAAAAGCGCAACCCCGAAAGGGACCGCACCGCATACGAACGATCGCCAGCTGCACTCCGGCCGGGAGTATCAAACGCCGCGCGCGTCTTTCGCTCGTCGCATTCGATTAGCTCTCGTCGTAACGAAGCGACGTCCAACGACGACGACGGCGACGACGGCGACGGCGACGGCGACGGCGACGGCGACGGCGACGGCGACCCCGGGAACGCGCCCTCGCCCTCGCCCTCGCCGCCCTTAATTCAACGGAATTTTCTCGGCTTTATCGCCGGCCTGACTGCGAATTACGCTCGTTCGCGAGCAACTCGTTAAAACTCACCTTTCTCCCCGCTGCCGAGGTGAATTAGCTGACCGTCCTCGCGCCGCCAGGTGATGTTGGGTGCCGGTGAACCGGTCGCGGCGCAGCGTAAGGTCACGTTCCGTCCCTCCGCCACCACCATGTCCGTGCTGGTCTCATAGTCCACAATATCGGGCGGCACTGGGCAGGGGAACTGTTATCGTTAGAGTATGCCACTACCGGCAAGCGAGTGCTGAAAAGAGCTTCCAGCGTCGTGGAAACGTGCTCGAGACGAATCGAGGTACGATCGAGTTACCTCCGATCTTCCGCAGTTTCGCCATTATAACGGAAAATCGTTCATTGCAAAGTTGTAAGTATCGTCTCGGCGTATCAAGTCCCGAATCGATGGCGAACAGCCTCGAATGACGAGAAACGCTCGTGGATTGGATCGCGTCGCTATATTTGTCTTTAATTTCTCTAATGGATTTATGTTGGAACGTGCGCGCGCGGAAGGGTCACATACGATATCTAATAGCAACGCGCTTGCATCCGGCTATCAGGAATTAGGAGATATCGTTCGTATAAAGTGTGCGCGGAGTAATAAATCTCTCTCTCTCTCTCTCTCTCCCCCTCTCTCTCTCTCTCTCTCTCTCTCTCTCTCTCTCTCTCTCTGTCCTTCCCCTTCTCCCTCTTTGTCAGTGATGAGACCAAAGAGATGAGACTCTCGCTGTAACACTCAGCGCAACAATAGCGCGTGCACAGAGAGAGAGAGAGAGAGAGAGAGAGAGAGAGGGAGGTGGGAGGGTGAACGAGGGCGAGGGCGAGTATATCTGTCCGTTCATAAATCAGCCGGCGCGGATTAGCGCTCTGTATGCGCGCGCGGAGACGAGGGTGGAAACTACCACGGTACGACTCCTCAACAACAACGTATGACACGTGGAGGCAGAGGGGAGGGGGAGGACACGTGCAGCGCGCACGCGACGCATACGCAGGCTGCACGTAATAAAGTAGAGAATGATAACGGCGGGACGACGCATCCGCGTCATCTCCGGCCGGAAGTGAACTTGCGACGCACCCCGCCTAGCTGAATGTTGTCTATGGCCGGACCTCCGTAGCGTGGACATTAAAGAGCAAGAGCGAAAGAGGGAGAGGGAGAGAGGGAGAGAGCCAGCCCGAGAAGGACGTTCTCGTTTTGGGTTCCGTACGACTTCCCGGGACCCGAATAATGCCGAGTTTCGCGGAGTTTAGAATACGCGGCCTGGATACGGCTGGTCGAGGACGCCCAGACCGTTCGCTGCGGCGGTTTCGCGGGTGCGTGTATGTGTGCATGTGCACACACGTGTCGCTCTGCATCCGCTACATCCATTATCAAAAATTCTCGAGACCGTGCGCGTGCACTCGCAAGACGCGAAATTGCCCCGCGCGCGAGTCTCGATGCTGATTTTCCCGGGTCCACCGCGCACGCGCGTCAAGAAGCCCGCTCCCGCAAATGCGCGGCTATGGTCCTTCGAGTTTGCAGTCGTTGTAACCGCTACCTCTGCCTTATCATCGAGTTAACGCGTTGAATGCCATGGTGGTTAACCGAGAGAGAGAGAGAGAGAGAGAGAGAGATCGACGCTATGATATTTTTCATATTATGTGTCTCCCTCTCACAAATCATATAAATTATATAAAACTATAATAGTCGCACACGTATGATGAACTAGAATAATCATAACGGAATAAGAATAAAAATATAAATCATATAAAACCGCTGATATAATCAGCTGTGTACGAAAGGAGGCAATAATGCGAATGCGTGCATCGCGAATTGCAGTCCTTTCGAACTTGAGTTGAATGTTGAAACAACCGCTGAAGTTCTCAGTCGTGTTGAACGAAACGACGACCTCGCAATCACGATCCGCGGAGAATTCCGTACGTGTACCCGACACGAGCTGTCGTGCCGCCACCTTCGCGAAAATCATAATCCGAATCATGCCGTGGGTTATCCCCCCGCGGCCAGGCTTTCCTATCTGACTACGGAGCGTTAAAGACAATCCGAGCGCTCTTTCCTTATTTTCTCCGCCTTTCATTCCAGCGATCTCTCTCGCCTGTTCCCAGGGCGTTGAACAAACGCGTCCCTCGCGAGTAATGTCTTACGAGGTCCGCCAACATGCGAATCGGCTCGAAGGCTGCATCGGTTGCCGGAGGGAAGAGCAGGTCGAGGTTGACGGGGTCGATTTTATTCCGCCCTACGGCCGGAACTCGATTTGCGGTTGAGTGCCCGTATGGGTGATGCTGAATTGGCGGGTCAAAGCCACCTAGAGTCTCCACCGGTGGTAGCCCCCCCCCTCCCCGCTTCTCCTCCGCTGAGCTCCCCACCTGCTCTACCTACTCACCCACACACAGTTGGACTCCGAACGTATGTATGTATGTTCGGTCGCTCGTTCGTTCGTTCGTTCGTTCGTTCGTTCGTTCGTTCGTTCGTTCGTTCATTCGTTCGTTCGTTCGTTCGTTCGTTCGTTCGTTGGTTCATTCGTTGGTTTGTCCGTTTGTTACTTTTGTCCGTTTGACTCTACGCGTCTATTTGGAGACCACACGGATTTTGATAGCAACGCGACTCGTGGAAAATTCTTGCGCGCGATATTCGCGATTTCCACCGACGATCCCACACTGGGACGACACGTAACGCGTTGTGGTGCAATAAAAATGAAGCGGAACAATAAAGGAGCTCTAATTCCGATCATTCCAGTTTTCTAAAATTAATATGATTTGAACGGGCGGGCTTCCCTTCGATTATTTCGTGCGCGTGCACGACGCGATTTCATAAGCGGTAATTTGAATCGTTGGGAATTATCGATTTCTCTGATTGAAATTTTTTATTTTGATGACTGTTACATTCACAGAGTTAGCGGAGAAGAAGCGACGAAGCACCTGGCAAGGGAGCTTTCCGTGGAGAAAAAGTTGAGATATAAATACTCCACTTTCGCTCCCGTACTTTTGCTCCCCTACAAACCGGAGAGACGTTATATTTGCAACAAAGAATACACCACAGCTTCGAATAATTCCAATAATTTGAATGTCTGAAATTTACTTCCGTGTACATCTCGTTGCGAAGGATCGTTGAAAAGTTCCGTGTCCGCGATACGTGTAGTAATTAATTAATTGATTCAGAGTCTCCCGGTCGCGCGCGAAGCAATTATAACCTAATGACCGCCCGGTTCCTCTCAAGTCGATATATACACACAAGAAAAACTTGGCGAACAAATTGAGCACTAGTGCACGGTTGCAATTCGCTCTTACTCCTCCGTTCCGTCCGCTCCGTGCCGCGTGTTTTGTTAACCTCGCCAGACGCCAAACTACAAAACAAAACTCAATGCAATCGCTCATGCGACCGCCGTCGCCGCGCCGCATCAATTTAAAGCCGAATCTTAACTCGTGGCGCGCAACTACGGGAAACTACGTCATTTCGTCACTGACAAATTCGTAACTATTTTAGTTCGCGCTCACGTTCACGCACTCTCACCCAGGCGCGGGTTTTCACCCACCCCTCTTCTCGTTCCTGGAAAAACACACGATCGACGAATTTTAGAAACTCTCGGGCGATCCCATTAGAGTCACACGAGACTCGGCGATAATGGACGCGAGAGATGAGATCACGCGCGGTGCACTTTTATAAAATACACGGCGTGCACCCTCGAGATTACAGGCTATTGAGCATTGGTAATGGGCGGCTCAGTTTGTTATTCGCGCCTCGCGTATACGACGGTAAGCCACGCGCCGTCCTGCGTCTGTCATCCACGCATCAATTCGATTTCTCCCGGCGTCCATCGCGGCAGCGCCGCGGCCGGCACCCACGGCTTACGCGTTCGGATATAAAACAATTTTAATGCGAAAGATGAAACGTGACAGACGCCGAGTCCTTCTGACGCGAGCGGATAATCACTCGACTCGCGGACTACGAAATTGGCAGTATTGTTCTTGGAACGGCTAATTTCCACGCGGCTCTCTCCAACGGGATATTTCGCGGAAAAGCGTCACTGTCATCGCTTTTTAACAGAGAACCAGCATGGGTGCCAGCATGGCGGCGGCCGCGCGACTCCGCCGACCGCTGGTGCGCGCGCGACGTCGTGCGCGATATAACGATATGCAAATGAGTTGTTTTACCAACACTTCCGCCGGCGGGATTGATACACTTCCGCGGATGTTTTTCCATCGCGTGGATGCGACGGCGACCCGTTCGGACAATTGTCCCGAGTACCGCGTGCATCTAATTATGATACGGCTGAGAATTTTATATATTAGGTGTACAAATGAATAATCCAAGCTTTTCTTAAACGGCTAAGAAATTTCACACAATCAAATTCAAGCAGTTTCAAATAATCAAACTTTCCCGCTCTTTTACGGTTATGTACACTAGGAAAAATGTGTTGTTGTGTGAACCAAAATTTTGCTTCAAGCAACAAAATAATTTGGTTAAAATATGCCCAACGGTATAGTTATAGCAACCAAAAAGCTTTAACTATATGAATTTTGTTAAAAATACTATAATTTTTTCTTAATATATAAAATCTAAATTTTAGTGCACAGAAAGACCAAATAGTGTCCATCGGGCATTATTTTAGTTTGTGTAAAATAATATTTCGTTATTGTGTAATTTTTATGGATAAAATAACTAAAATGCTTAATTTTTATATATGAAGTCTAAGAACAAAATCACTTGCTCCAGAGAACAATGCAGAAAAATTTTTTAATCTTTAAGTGGGACAACTAAATATTTTGTTATATAAAACAAGATATTTGGTTGCTACAGAAAAATGCCTCAACTAAACAGTTTTGTTAGAGATACTAAATATTTTTTTCTAGCGTACCGTTGAAAGATGGCTTGAAGTTGGTTGTAGAAAACAACATAGCGAACACTTTGATTGGCAAATTTGTTTTGCTCTCTTTCTCTTTGAAGATAAACCTCGAATTCAGTTGAAAAATTTGGATTATTCATTTGCACACCTAATACTAAAGCAAACTCCTCCCTCTTGTATATCTTGTATATCAACCTCAATCCCATCCCGGCAACAACGTCCGCCGGTCGGTTCAGCGCCCTGGAAACCCACCACTCGTCAACGTGACTATGTATTTGGTTTCATCTAACGTTGTTTCCACCGCCGAGTTTACCGCGCGCCCCGGAATAACCCCGGCCAATTTCAAGTAATGGTGGTCTTCTT